ACTTTGTTGTTGTTGTTGTGTTGTTTGATTTAAATAAGAATTTTGTATTTGATAACAAGAATGGTCTACATCTCCAATTCTTGTACAAAAAACATTAATATTATTGTTATAGCTATATTGTTGTTGTTGTTGTTGTTCTGATCTTGAATATCTATCATTAAATGAATATCCTCCATGACGACTTTTTATTCCAAGTTGACTGTGCATATCTTTAAGTTGTTGGGTGTTTTCATTATTTTGTTGTTCAAATTCCCTTCTTTCAGAACCGCGAATGGCTGCTGTTCGGCGATTGCGAGATTTTGTTGTATAATCTTGGCTATATAATTGCTGATTTTTCATTAAATAAAATACAAGATCATTAACATTTGATTGGTCTTTAAAGTAAGAATTAATTTTCATGTAAGACAAGCTTGGCATCCAAGAACGTTGTGAATATTCAGTAGACAAAGTTAAGAAAATTCCTTCTTCTTGTTCGGGGCTGTAAACTGGGATTTGCCATTTTCCATAACTCCAAAGTTGTTGTTCATCAACGTTAGCTGATTGCATTGCATTTTTAACGTGTTTGGCCCTTAAATTTAAATTTATTTTTTAAATAAAAATATTTTTTCTTCTTCTCACATTTGTCTGTCAGCTGGATTCTTTGATTTAGCTACCATTTTCATTGTTTGATATGTATATGCTTTTACTCGTTTATTTGGCTCTTGACTCATTGTATAAATTATTTGATCAATTACTGATGGCTCTGGCTGTGTTCTCATTAATATTTGAAGTGCAACAATTCGGACATTTGGATCTTCTTGATTGTTAAGATAAATAGGTAAAATAATATGTTGGACAGTCATTTGTTGTTTTGTTGTTAGGCGACGAAGAGCATCAATTGCTTTTGCTCTACAAAGAGAATGTTCACTTCTATCTTTAATTATTTGTTCAAGTTGGGGAGTAGAAGTGTCAATTCCTGCATTTCCAAGAGAAGCTAAAGCATTTAATTTTTCTTGAAGAGTTGTTGCTTTTTCATATTGTTCTACCAAAACCTTTAAAATTTATTATTTAATTAAATATTTATAAATGGATGTATACTTGTTTGTATTGTTCCTTCTTATCGTCTGTACATTGTTCAGGAATTGGATGAGTTAAATCTGGAGTTTTTTCACTTCTCTTTTGAGAACATAATTCATTAACTAATGCCCCGAAAGTCAAACAAGCAGATTGTTTAACTATTGGCTGATTTTGAACTTGTTCACTTTGACAGAGTTTTTGAACTTCTTTTACAATTGAATTTGATGGAGATGGCAATCCTGTCAATTGACTGATTGTATATGCAGCTTTGTGAGGTGGGACTTCCTGAAATATTTAAATATCGATAAAAAGATGACTGTTAAATTTACTTGGTTTTTAATCATCTCAGCTAGTCGAACAACACAATTTCGAGTCCCACTAGTAGCCATTGCATCAACAAGTATTTGTTTGGCAGTTTCTTGTTGATTTTGATGGTATTGCTGAGCATTTTGTTCAATTTGTTTTAAATCTTCATAGCTACACATTCTCAGCATTTTAACTAATCTACTCAATTGAGTAGTGTGTTTGGTGTCAATGCCATGATGGTGATCCAAAGTGCTTTGAACTAGAGCACGAAGTGCCTGACCAGCTTGTTCCACTTTTGGTACAGAGGAGAAAGGTGAACTTGTTGAATCTGGGAATTCTTCATCTCCAAACTAAAATATTCTTTATTGAATTAAAATTTAAATAAATTAACCATATAGAAGCGTGCATAGTCTGAGAAAGTCTGAACTGTGTAGACCAAAGACTCGTCGTTGTCCAATGTCTGTGTGGGTACCTGTTGGTCTTGGGTTGATTGAGCAGAACGTAATTGAAGTTTGGCACAGACTTCAGTACGCATTGCCGAACCATATGGGCCACTTTCAGTTTTGGTGTTTTTGTAGACATACATGGAACGCATTTCAGAACTATCAAGCTGACAGCTATTTGGTGTCTCCTGTTGTTTCCCTTCGATCATCTGTTGTTCACTTCCACATTTAAGCATTGCACGAATTACTGTTTGTCGATCCAACTTAATTTAGAATATAAAGTCCTAAATATATTACTCGGTTTTTTTGCACTTACAGTTTCTTCCATAATTCGTTTTGGGTCACATTTGGCACAAGGATGTTCTGCCGTCCCAGATTGTTGTTGATCTCCTTCCTTTTGTTTATACCAATCCATTTTACATTGAGCACAGCGAGCCTGTGGTTGTTCAGTTTGGAAGCCAGCAGAAATATCACCAATTCTGGAGCACTGCTTGAAATTGATGGATTTGGTTACATTGAAGGAGCATGGCATTTGCTGTTGTTTGTTACTTTCATCAGCACTTTTTTGTGTGCAATGTGGCGATGGATTTGCTGTGTTGATTGTGTAAGTTGTCTGGCATTCTCCTTCGACAGTAACTTCGGGGATGGTGAAGGAATGAGCAAGTTGGTCTCTCATTTGTGTTGATTCATTCTCTTCAATGTTTCCTTCCTGCTGATTTCTTGATTGTTCAGTTGCCAATTCCTGAGCATTGTTTTGCCTCAAATTCATTTGAATCATGTTGAGAACACCTCTCTTCATATTTTTCGACCAAGGCTCATCTTGTTTGTCGAATTGGACTCGAACAATTACTCCATCAACATAATCGAATTGACAGCAAAGTTCAAGTTTTTGTCTTTGCTCTTGAGGGATTTGTTTCTAAAAATTTAAATCAGTTTTTAAGACTACAGAATTGTATACCGGCTCAAAAATGCTTAAAGGTTCATAGCATTGGTTGCTGTCTGTTTGTTTCCTTTGTTCGTTGAATTGTCCGAATTTGTTTTGTGTCATGCATAGCAGAGCACGTCTTTGACTTGCAAAATATACTTTAACTTGGGATTGAATACGAGTAACAGCTTGCTGTCCATTTTCAGATGTCTGAGTTGTTGTGCCAGATTCGTCTACAGTACTCAAACCACTCTCTACTTGAGCATCATAACTGTAGTGATATACTGTTCCTTCTTGAAAGTTTGGTGCACGCGTTTGTTCAGAGGCCGAATTATCAACAAAAAAGTGTCGGTAGAAGAAACGTTTCAATGTTGAGGTTGCCGGGTATTCATCTCCAACGGCCAAATTTGAAGGGCCTAATAAGCCTATGGCCAACAGAAGAAGAAGTGAATTAATTCGCATTGAGGATTGTTTTTTAGAAATAGTTTTGGACTTTTAAATGTTTTATGGAGGAGAGGAGGGAAGAAGTTAAAAATGATGAGGAATAGCTAGAATGGGCTGGCTTATATTTGCCCAAATAGCAACTATCTGGCGCCATCTTTCTGGCAATTAATGAGGAACTTTGCCTTATTTTCATACAAAAATGTCAATTTAAGGAAGAGGCGCCAATCATTTATTGAACAAAAAACAAAATAAAACGAAGAAAAATTTGGTATAAAATATTCTTTACTCTTCCAAACAGCTGATAAGAGGTTAATAATTGACACATTTTGAGTATATTATTGTCAATCAAATTTGCAAAAAAGCCATTTTTTGTTAAATTGACAGGCAATCAAAAAATTAATAAACAAAATTTAGATAAATTATTTTAAACAAAAATTGTTTTGCTGGATTATCTTCAAATCGGAGATATTAAACAGTTAGTATGTATATTAAATAGCATGAAATGATCTCGGTATTTTTTTGCCGGTCATTATGATTGTTCCTAACATATCTAATATTTTTTAAATATTTTTTAAATTTTAAACTATGTATGTTTTATGCGAATTTAAAATAAATTTAAATATTTACATTCAAATTATTTACAAAAAGATATGATAATAAAATTAAATAAAATTATTTTTAATAAAAATATTCTTTCAATTTTTAATTTAATTATTATAGCCAATTAGTTTCTAAAAAATAGATTTCACATTTTATTCCTTTTCTTCTTTCTTTTCTGAATTTTCTTCTTTCTTTACTGAATCTCTACTAATTATATCTTTGTATGCTGCATCGTTGGCAAGTAAATTTTCTCCTGTAAAATTAAAAAAAGAATTATTTTAATAATATTTGGGTGTATCGAAAACAGCTTGCTGTTGTTTCCCAATTCCCCAATTTTTTACCTGATTTTTCAACAATAGAATCAACAGTCATAGGCACAGCTACACCCTTTTCAATTCCTGACGGAATAGGAATAACTTTACTTCCCATACTCTTTAAAGGCTTATAAGCCCCGGCTTTGTAAACAAATCTGTCTTTGTCGTGATAAATTTTTTTTGTTTTCTTTTGACCAATTTTCATTTCTTTCCTTTCATGTCTATTCAAATCATAGGGATCACGAAATTTTGGGTTTTGTTGTTTTTGGCGTTGCTTCTATAAAAGAAAAAATGTTTAATTTAAACAAAATAAACACAATCAACAAACTTTTAAAAAGCAATAAACACAAATAGAAATATAAATTGCAATAAAAACCAAAACAAAGCCGCCAATAATTAAATATGCAGAATCTATTGTTTGATATTTAACCATCACAAGAGGAAAGAGAAGCCTAACTTTACTTGGAGAGAATTGTGAAGACGTGAAAGAATTTAAATTTGGTTTTCTTTTGCTTTTATATTAAATATTTAATTTAATTAAATTAATTAATTTCCTAAAATTATTTACAAGCTTTAGTAATAAAAATACGCTCTAACAAGGAAAATTTTGATCATAAAATATTTCAACATTTTAAAGAAAGGATTTTTGGCTAGACAAAATGAAGTAATGAAGTTGCTCTAAACTATTACATATATTGAAGTAAAAAAGTAGAAACATTCAGTTAATATTTCAAATCCTCTTTGATAAATTTTTAATTTAAAGTTAATTTAAAATTTTTATTATTTTAATAAATTAATTTTTTATTATTTAAATTATTCAAAAAAATAATTTTTATTTTATTAATTTAATTGCACAGAATATAAATTTAAAAATGAGCAAATAATTTTTTGAATATTTTCTTTCTTTTATTTTCATATATTTTGTTGTTGTTGTAATTTAGCCTGTTGCATAGAAAGTTGTGAATGATGTCCAAATTCTGGGACTGTTTTAAAACAATAACATTCAAGTAATTTTAATGCTGTTGGCATTAATTGTTTTTTCATTTGCGGAGACCAAAATATATACCTGAAAAATAAATTTAATTTAAAAAAAATACATTCAAACAAACATATAAAAAAGAACGGCATGATGTAAATAATAAAGTAAAAATGTTATAAAATATAAAAGTAGCCATAAATGTGTTTGCTCGACATTAAATAATGCATCATATAAACGAAATGCGTAATTTGGAACATTGAGAAGAACAAATGTACTGAAAATTAAATTTAAAAAATGTGAAACGTTTATAGTAAGACGAAAATTAATTTTTTGTGGTTATAAAATACCGTATTTTCTCTAAAATAACCCCCGGGGGTTATTTTTTTTGATCGACTTCTAGAGGGGGGCTATTTTAGAAGGGGGTTATTTTGAGAAAATAAAATAATTAATTATGGCAAAAAAATAATTTTTTTTTTAAATTCCCACCCACAAATCCTCCCTCTTCCCCCAACAAATAAATTCACCTTGTAACAATAAGTAAAGATCTACTCAAAGTCAAATCAGAAGATTTTAATTTCCCTCCTCCCCCACTCCCTCCACTAGCAGCATTTGGACTTCCCCCTCTATTATTTGTAGCTGCTGTAGCAGAAAGCATTCCCGTTTGTGTTGGTCTGTTAATTGTTGTTGAATTACTAAATAATGAATGTTTTTTGTTTGGAGATTCTTTTTGTTGAGGTAATTGTTGTTGGTGTTGCTGTAAATGATTATATTCTTCATTTACAGGTCTGTCTGGAACTCTCAAAAATCGAACACGTAAAACACCGGAGGAATAAACCTTTTTTTAAATAATTTTAGAAATTTTATAGAGAAAAAACAAATACATACTTTCATGCATTGTCTATATCTATAAATTGATAAAGAATTGACAATCATAATTAAAAGTGATGGAACAACTGTACATAATATTGTATCCTAAAATAAATTTTAAAAAATTGTTAATAAATAATAAAAATGTTTTTTAATTAAAAATACTCAAAAAATTCGGATTAGTCAAAAAAATATCAGAATTTTTGTTCAAATTTAAAATAATAAACAAATTATTAAAATTTTCTCTATTAAAAATTAATTAAAATCCCCTCTATTATTTTAACAAAAATAATCCACCAACCATTGTCAAAAAGAAAAGATGTAATTGATTTAAATCATAACTTTAAATAAATAATTATATTTTTTAAAATAAATTTATTTAAATTAAACCCCTGAACAGCTGGGTTAATTCCACAATAGGGAACTTCATCAGTTCCAATTTCCAATCCAGCAAAAACTAAACACCAACCATAAAGTGTTGAACTTTAATTTAAAAATTATTTATTTTAAAATATTTATTAATTACCTAAATAAAACAGTACAAACAACTAAATTTCTCGCAAATTTTTTATTACAAACGCGACGACGAATTCCTGGTCGAAATAGAACAATAGCTCTGTCACAAGATACCCAGGAAATCATCCAGACCTGAAAAATTATTTAACTTTAAAAATTATAAAGACAATCTTCTTAATATAAGTACTTTCCCCATTTTTTGTAATAAAAAAGTGACAAACGAGAGATCGAGAAAATAGTTAATTTTTATTTTAATTAATATTCTCCCTATTGTTTGTCCACTTTTGTAAATAAAATTTCAATAATTTTTAAAAAATGTTTAATAAATTTAAAAGAACATATCCAAAAATATTTATTCTAACTTACACAAATAAAATCGCAGCTATGTGCAGTAAAAGTTAATATTTTACAGCCAACTTCTGATTGTGAATATAAAGGTAATAAAGCTGCAGAAGAATCTAACCAGGTAATAAAAACTGTTGTTAAAAATAAACATCCACAAACAGAAAGTGTACACAAATATATATTTGAAGTTAATCGACGTAACCAGTAATTTGTTCTTTTTTTTTAGTTGAATAATTATTTATTAAATAAAAAAATAAAAGTACGAATTCATAATGGAAGTCGTGAGTTAATTTTTTAAAAATATTTCCCAATTTTTTTTTTGGAATTTTCAGTAAATCCCCAACTGCGAAAAATAATAAAAACATTTTTTTGTTTATAATATAAAAAAATATTTTTAGAAAAAATATTTTTATATTTTCTAAAATAAAATTTATCCATTTTTACCTAATTAAAAGGAGGGCCATACAATTTCCAACAATTCCTACAAGACAAAATATTGGAATAAAATGTCTTGCGTAATATCTCAAATACAACAAAACTCTGTCATTATCGTGAATATTAAGAAGTCCCTGAACTGGTTGAAGTCCTGAATTTTTTTAAAAACAAAAATATTTATTTTTCTAAATTTATTTTTCAAAAAAACCTCCAACATTATTTAATTCATTATTTTCTCCTTCCTCCCCTCCAATATTTGGAGAAGGAGAGGAAAATATATTATTAGATGAAATTGTTGTATTTGGTGAGAAAAAATTCTCTAAATCCATTAAAGACTAAAAATTTTAAATATTAAAATATTTATATTTAAATAATTCTAGTAATTAAGTAGTAGATAGAAGTACTTAATTGAGGGAATAATTTTAAATATATTTTATGCTCTTTTGAATTAAAAATCTCAAACAAAAAATCCTTTTAATATCTAAATTTCTTAGAATAATAATTTTCAATGAAGCGATAAATTACACAAAAAATTAGTATTTAGTAATTATTTGACATTTACTGCAAAATAATTTTAAATGCTAAAAACGAAAAAAGAGAAATATAAAATGAGGAAAAAAATAACTGATTTAAAATATATTTTCTAAGTTTCAGAATTTATGAAATTAATTAATTAAAAGAAAGGCTGGGACGATTAGAAAAATTTTGACTTTAGTCTTCTTGTTTATTTTAATTAATTTTCAAGAAATGATTGATTTAAAATTATTTTGAAATTTAGAACAATATGTGAACTTGAAACTTGCTTTCAAAAATTGGGTATAAATTGGGTATCCTTCCAAAATGAAAAAATTCATTCTTTCTAAACCCAAATTTAATATATAATTTTTGCATTAAAATTTGGCCCGGATCACAGGAGAAAAAATATAAAATGATGAAAAATTATATTGATATTTTAAGATAAATAAATGATTAAAAGGGATATGAAGGAATTTTTTATATACTTACGGCATACTCTTTTTGAATCCTACAAAATTCTTGATATCTTAGACTAAAATTATTATTTAATTAAAAAATTATCCAGACACACTGAACATTCTGGATATGAAAGTATACCGCCGATTGATGACTGGAGCTACACCAAATATCTAATATTCACAACCCGGAAGTAAAGGTCTGAACAGGAAAAATACAAAAAAGAAGCAAATGCCCCCTTAGATTGTAACCAAAAAAGAGAGGATATTTTTATTATTAAATGAAATTTTAATAAAAAATAATTTTAGATATTTAATATGGAGTTAGAATAATATGTAAATATTATTTTATTGTAAACAATTAATTTATTAATCCTATGGATTTTATCTAAAGGATTTTTTAAATTTTTTTGAATAAAATATATAATTTTTAAAAAACTTTTTTTTAATTTAAATTTTTTTTGAAGAGAATTTGTAGAAAAATATAAAAATTTATTTTAAATGTGCCATGAAAGAAAATAATAAAAAGTAGTAAAAGGAAAATATAAAATGATGAAGACAAAAAAAGGGGGAAAGAAAAAAGAGAATGATGTAAAAAAAAAGAGGGGGGGGGGGGGGGGAGCTTTTACTTTTTTTTTATTTTTAAATACCTTGGGGAAACTAAATGAGGGGGAAGGAGGGGAGAAAATAATTTTAAACAAAAAATTGGAAGAAAATAAAGTTTTTATTTAGTTCTTCCGGTTTTTATTTTTAGAAAAATTAACATTTTCTAAATTATTTGTGGAATACATATTTATTTTAATTAAAGAAAGAAGACAAATTAGTTTACGGAAAATATAATGTTTTTTGAGGTAATCTCGGAGAGAAATTCCTCTATTTATTGAAAAGATTTGAGATTTGTTTAGAAAATAATTTTAAAAAATTAGCGAATGTAAAGAGTGTTTGTAAAAAGAATTTTTTGGTATATACTAAGTAGTCTTCTTTATTATGTAGAGATTATCAAATGATTATATATCAGCTTTTCTATGTAAATTAATGTAAAGCTGGCAAATGTAAAGCTAAGAAAAATGATAAAATTTTTAGAAGCATTGGAAGTAATTATCGATCTAATCCAGTTGAGAGTTCCTTGATAAGAACAGAAAAAAAATCAAGTTGAATTTGGTACTTATTATATTTTGTCAAGATTAAACATTTTGAAAAATATCAAAATAAAATTTTATTTTTAATTTTTAATTTAGCCTTCCACTAAAGTAAAATTGTCGTAAAGTTTTTTGTATTTTTATTTAATATAAAAATATTATTAAATAAATTATATTTTTAGATTTTTTTTTATAAGAAAGAGATAAAATGACAATTATATTTAGGTAATTTAATTATGTTTTTATTGAGTTGGAAAATATTTGTTTTTATTAAATAAAGTTTAACTTTTTTCGATTCCAATAATAAATTAATTTAATTTTTAGATTTTTAAAATAATTTAAAGAAAAAAAGTTTAAAAAAAATTTTTTTCGAATCTATATATTTTTTGTTCTTTTGCCAAAAAAAAATCTTTACTTAAAAAATTCACCGGTTTTGCTTCGATACTTCTTTAACTAAATTTTTTTCTATTTCTGGATTTTTATGTCCAAATAAGAGAGAAAAAATAAAAATTGTTATCTTTATTTTTTTCAATTAATTTTTAATAAATTTAAAAGAATATTCAAATGTGTGGGTGGAAAAATGTTTTATTGAATGGATAAAAAATGGCACGTTAGACAAAAATAAAAAAATAAGGGAAGTTTTTTGCATTGAAATGAAAGGACAAAAAATTCATTTTATTGAGTGACATTTTTTATATAAAATTATTATTTTAAAAAATATTAAATTTTTAAGAAAAGCTTTTCTAAATTTAAATAAAGGAAGAAAGGAGAATTTAGAAAAAAATAATAATTAAAATAAAATTTAATTTAAATTGTTATATGTATTTAGTAGAAGGATTTACTCTTAAAAAATTATATATAGATTTGTATATATTAAAATGAAAGTTTAAAAACCCGCGTAGTTATAGGCTTCTTTTAGTGCTTTAATAAGCATTTACATGAGAATAAATGACAAATTTTTTAATAATTTTTTCTGAATTTAAAAAATAATATAAATAGCTTATGTATTTTTAAATAATTATTGTTTTAGGGAAAGAGTTTTAACTTTTAACACAAAAAATTAAAAGTAATTACCCAAAATTAATTGATATCTCTCAATCTTTTAATTTTTAATTTAAAATTAAACTTCCCAATTAATCGATCTTCAATTTCCCAATATTTCTTAAATCTTTTAGCAGTTGGACTAAAAACTAAAAAAAAGTTTTGGTATAAAAAAAACAGTTGTGGCCAATTGGGAGGGGGGGGGGTGTTTGGATGTGTGTTTATGTACTTTTTTGAAAAATCTTTTTCTAAAACATTTTTCTTCTTTTTTTTTTCTACTTCCTTTTACCCGCCTGCTTTTCCCCCTCCACATTATTTGGTTTCAGATAAAGAATTGTCAAAAAAAGGAGAAAAAGGGGAAGTAATACAATTAAATTTATTGATAAATAAATAAATATTTATTTATTTAAAATTTTTTTGAAGATTTTTAGAAAAGACAAAAAAATAAAAGAAAAGAAATTTTTGCCATTTTTTGAATAAAAGAATGAATAAAATGAATAAAATAAAAAGTATTTAGTTGTAAACAAAACAAAAAGGAAGTACATAAAGCTTAAAAAAGCTGATGACTAAATAGTAACATCTAACGGCACAAATTTGATTCAAAAAAAAGAAAAAGGAAAAAATGTTTAAAAATAAAATTAAGACAAGGAAAAAATAAAAAAAATTCGAATAAAAATTTAAACAAAAAATATTAAATTCAAAAATAATATTTTATATTGTTTTAATGTCAACGTTAATTTTCTATTAACTTCCTAGCATTTTCCTCAACTAATCATTCGTTTCCTCTTGTGTAAGAATATCGAAAAAATTCCTGCCAGTGAAGGAACCTCAAAAAGCTTTTCGTAACTACAAATAAATAGTTTTGATCTCGGCTCCTATGTATTTTATATTTAAAAAAGCAGAAGGAAATGGTGAAAGTTAATGGAAAAATAACAAAAAAAAATTTTTTTTCAATTATTTATTTTTGTATATTCATTAAAAATGTTTTTAAATAAAAAATAAAAATATTTACGTAAATAAAAAGTACTTTTAAATATTCTAAAATATATTTATTTATAATAAACATCTTAATGGATAGATGTGAAAATATTTTTAGAAAAGAAATTTTTTTATTTTAATATTAAAAATACATAAATAAATATATTTATTTGTGAAAATAAAAATGTTTGTTTAAAAATTAAATAGCGATTTAGTTAATTGATTAAAAGAAAATTAGAGAAGGTTGAAAGGATAGAACGCCTGACACTTCTTTATTTTTAAATTAAAAGAGAAAAATAAAAGTTTAACAAAATTGTGTGAAAAATTGAAAAAAATAAATAAATATTTTAATTTTAAAAAGAAAAAATTTAATTAATTTATTTCAAGCAAAATATTTTAATTTATTATAAACCAAACTTTTAATTTTGCAAAAATATTTTTTTTCAAATAATTATTTTCTTTTAAATAATTTCTAATCTTTTTTTCCCTTTACATGCCTCATTTATTTTTCCCTAATTTTCCGTTTGGCTAATCAAAAGAAAAAATAAAAAATAATTTTAGAAATTCCCAAAAATAACATTAAAGTTATTATTTTTTAGAAAATAAAGACTGTGTTTTATTGGAAAGGAATTGAGGAATAAAAAAATAAAGAAAAATAATTTTAAAATTAGGAATAAAATAATTTTTTTTTCTATTTTTTAATTTAAAAAATTTAAAAGAATTAAAAAATAAAAACAATTTTTCTAATATTTTTTAATTCTTAAAAGTGCAAAAAAATAACAAAAAATATTAATAAGCAATGGATTTATTTAAATATTAAAAGTGTTTTTTGCCTAAAGGTTTGAACATAAAAAAGAAAAATGTTTGTTGTTAGATGTGTGTGTGTGAATATTTTTATTTTTGGATTTTTAATTTTTATTGAAAAAAAATATATTTATTAATTTACGTAAAATAAACTATAATTCTCTTAAATATTTCAAAAAAAAATTTTTCCTCATTGAATTATAATTTAATGATCTTTGGATCCTTAAATATTTTTTAAATTTCTCAGGTAAACCAAAAAAAAAATAAATATAAAATTTTTAAATATTTTTTAAACTTTAGGGAAAAATTTAGATATAATGCAGATAAAAATATTCCTTTTGTTACTTTAAAAAATGTCATTTAACAATTTTATCAAAAATTATAATAGTATTTTACAATGTAATTATTAATTATTTATTAAACAATTGAGAACAAAAAAAAATATTTGGAAATAAATGATAATTTTTTAAATTAAAAATAAAATTTAAATTTTTAAATAAAATAGTGAATGTTTAATTAAACGAATTATTTGAAATAAAATTTAATTTTTAATTTGCGTCATAAATAAATAAATTTGTATGGAAGTTTACAAATTAAAAAAAATAATTTTTTATATTTATGACATTAAAATTAAAAATATTTTTATATATTTTTTTAAATTTTTATTTCTTTCCATATCCCCCTCCTCCTCCACAACCACAACCTCCTCCACACCCTCCTCCTCCACCACAACATCCACCTCCTCCTCCACCTCCACAACACCCACCACCACCACCACCACAGCTTTGAACTTGATATGTTTGGCAACAAGTTACTGTTTGGGTACAACAACTTTAAATTAAGAAAAAAATTATTTTTGTAATTATGAGAGTGTCTGAGGGTGCTCTCAAGGGTGTGCTTATATTAGAGCATTTACGGTATATATGTATATATTTTTTGTGAATACCCTTTTCAACTTATTTTAAATTCAAACAAAATTAATTATAAATAATAGGAACGGAAAATTATTTGTTAAAAAACCAACCCTCCCCCTCCACCTCCACAACATCCACCTCCACCCCCTCCCCCACCGCCACAACAACAGCAACAACCTCCACCCCCACCTCCCATACTTCCAAATAAAAATGCATCAGAAATATTTGTTGTTAACATAAAAATAAATAATAAAATAAAAATAGATGAAATTAATGAATTAATTGAAGGCATATTATTTTTTTAAAATCTAGAAAAAAGCACTAACAGGGAGAAAATAATTTTAAAAAATTATTCTTAAATTGCCTAAAAATAATTTAATATTTAATTTAATTTAAATAAAAATTATTTATTTTTTCTTAAAGACTGAGGAGAAACAACAAAATTTATTCACATTTTATATAATCCGGATCCGGCGGAAGAAAAAAGGGGAAAAGGCAAAAAACAAGAAAAAAACATTAATAATTCAACAATAAATATAAAACCGTTTTATAATTTTCGCGCACCTGATTTGCCGTCAGCCGGTTTAAAAGAAAAGTAAAAGAAAAATTATTTTTAAGGTGGCTAGTGTATAGCTGTGACTTGCTTAAAACTTTAATTTTTTATTTAAAAGAAATATATTTATTGGGAAGAAATGTGTATACTAAAATATCCTGCTGATCTCCACAAAAATAAATTAAAAATGTTTTTTAACAATTAATTTTTGGGGAAAAAATATTATTTTTGTGAGAAATTTTTTGTAAATTTTTCTTTGAATATTTCAACGTTTTTTTGGAAAAGAATTTTATAAACAAAGGTTTTATTCTTAAAATAATTCTCATATTTTATTTAAATTTATTTTTAAATTTGTCCTTTTATTTTTCTTCACAATAAATATGTAAACAATAAATAAAAATCATCAAAAAATGTAAGGAAGGTCAAATAAAAATTAATTCATTTTGTGGTTATTATACCAGTTCCGTGAACGGATAAATATAATTATTATATACCGGTATTTCTTACGCTTTTTCTCTCTTTCAGTTAATTTTCCCTTTTTTCCGATGATTTTTTTTCTTTCAGAGATTTGATTGGATATACTAAATTTATTAAAAAATGTATCTTTAAACATTTACTATTAAAAAGAAACATTTAAAGTATTAAAAGAAGAAAAAACACGAAAAAGTATATTTTTAAAAGAACAAATACATAAATTTATGACAATACACATTTAGAAAAATCCAAGTTTAGAAAAACAACATTATTTATAACTTTCCCTTTATTCATCGAAAATCATTCTCCAAACTTTTTGTTCAAGAATCATCTGGTTGTGACCCCCTTCTCGGTGGAGTTTTCTTCAAGTCTGCTGTTGTATCAGTTGGAATATCCTTCACGTCTCCTTTTGATGGCCGTTGAATTGTGACTCTGGCACTGCTAACTAGAAGAAAGGATTTTTCGACATTATTTATTTAATTAGCCGGACTAAACTGACCTTCTGGACTTGAACGACGAGAAGATCTCTGAGATGATCCACCACGTCCTGTTATGCGACCAATAAATGATGTTGGAGCATCACGTTCAGCTGATGTGATGACTGCAGAATATTTGTGGTTGTGTCGGTGGAAATTCATGTTTTTCTGGATGATCCTTGTCACATCGGCTGGAAGACTATCAGAGCTAACCTTTGGAATCGGGCGCGCTACTCTGATGGTTAGGTTGTTGTTGTTTATTCCTTCAAGTATTGCAGATTTTACGCTCTTAGTGTCATCCACCTTTTTGCCATTCACACGCGTTATTACGTCCCCATAATGAAAGTTACCATCGGCAATTGATCCAGCCTCAGTGCCGCAGATTGTGACATTATCCTGAAATTAACAAGAAGATGATACATTTCGGTTTTAGCACTAAAGCGCTCACCTGAACTTCTCTCATGTTCACCCCAAGAGGCATACCGCCTCGCCGCCATTTAATCTCGAAATCGAACAGCTCCCATTCATCTTTGCCTTGATATTCTCCCTCTAACTTCCTGATTGTGATCCTGTAGAAAGTGTCACGACGAACCTGGATTTTTAATTTCTCAGGTTCTCTGATGCTTACTCCCACGATCCGGTAGAAGTCCTCAGCTGTTGTTATTTCCTTAAAAGGAAACAGATATTAAAAAAGGGGTCTCTTTTGATTTGCCGATACCTCATCATTCAGTCGGATGATCTCATCGCCAACGTAGACACGCCCATACAAATAGGAGTCGAAGCTCATTTTGCGCACTCTGGGTGGCCTGCTTCCCTCAACGAACTCGATTCTGGGCTCTGTGGACCGGCGAGTGACTTGGACGCTCACTTCGGTGATTGACCCTGAAAATAAAAGAAAGGCGCTAAGAGAAATTTATGATGGCAAAAACTAACGATTAGCCGACTTTTGCGGCGCGTACACTTGCGGCTCAGACATTTGCGGCCCAGACACTTGCGGCTCGCCCCTATTTTGACACTTGCGGTCCCGACACTTGCGGCTAAGAAATTTTCGGCGCAGACATTTGCGGCTATCAACTTGAGGCCCAGACACTTGCGGCCCAGACTATTGCGGTTTTGTCATTTGAGGCTCCCCCCTATTGTGACACTTGCGGCCCTGACATTTGAGGTTTTGACATTTGCGGCCCCGACATTTGCGGCGATGATTAAAAAATGAAGTAAATTAAAATATTATTAGAATTAAAGTATTATAAACCGAACCAGATCCGGTCCGGATTTTCCGGATCCGGTGGTTTGGAATCCGGGTATTTCGATAAAACCCGTATTTCCCGGATTTTGATCAGGAAAATTCGATACGGGTCGAGCAAAATACCCGGATTCGGTCCGGGTCCGGTATTAAAAATAACCCAAATCCCACAAAATTTCGTAAAAATAAAAAAAATTGGAAAAAATTTTTAAAAAATTCATGTCATTAGGAATGAGCGAAACGAAATGAAACGAAATTTCGGTTATCTCTGGTCCGGATATGGTCTAAAAAATTTGGATTTCCGGATTATGATGCCAAGGAGAATAAACTTGGAGAATAAAATTGATTTATTGAACGATAAATTAGTATTTTTTTATTTTAATTTACTTCATTTTTTAATCATCGCCGCAAATGTCGGGGCCGCAAATGTCAAAACCTCAAATGTCAGGGCCGCAAGTGTCACAATAGGGGGAGCCTCAAATGGCAAAACCGCAATAGTCTGGGCCGCAAGTGTCTGGGCCTCAAGTTGATAGCCGCAAATGTCTGCGCCGAAAATTTCTTAGCCGCAAGTGTCGGGACCGCAAGTGTCAAAATAGGGGCGAGCCGCAAGTGTCTGGGCCGCAAATGTCTGAGCCGCAAGTGTACGCGCCGCAAAAGTCGCATCACCAAACTAACCACGTATTGACATGGCAAATCGGTACCAAACAGATTTGTTGAAAAGCAGTGGCACAGAAGAAAGCAGCGGCAGGAACAGGAACAGCAGTAAGCATAAGTCCGCTGCTTTTATAATACATCTAATTCGGAGAAGAAATGCGAATACCAAGAACTATGTATAAAAACAGGTCATTTTTCCAACGAAACAACCTCCGCACAGATCAACCAACAATTACAACGCCACTGCTGCTCAACAAGTCTTCTGCCGCTACTGTCGTCTACGCCGCTGCTGCTCAACAAGTCTCCTGCCGCTACTGTCGTCTACGTCGCTGCTGCTCAACAACTCTGAGTCGCAATGTCAGTCCGAAGTAAGTTGTGACTTTCTTCGATTTTGCTTAATCTCTAATCTAATTGACATTTATTTTTTCAGGCTCGGTCAGCGAAATAAATGTCGAGGTCAAGCGCAAGCAATACGACCCCAGGATCGAGTTCGTTGAGAGGAGCAGGCCGCCGAAAGTTAAAAAAGTGGGCTACAACTCCTACCTGAATGGCATTCTCTACGTTGGTGATGAGATCATCGGCCTGAATGATGAGGTATCTGCGAGAGGAAGGCAAGGCTTTTAATGCTTATCAAAATTTTTTAGGAGATCCGTACAGCAGATGACTTCAACAGTATCGTGTGTGCTCGCCGTACTGAACCAGTCAGGCTCCGAATCCGAGTGCGCCGGGACTGCTACTACAAGATCACCATCAAGAGGGTGGAAGGCGAACAAGGCAAGGGGGAAGTGCTGGACTTGGAGATCAAATGGCGACGAGGCGGTATGCCTCTAGGGGTGAGCATGGAAGAGAGTCGGGTGAGCCAATCAGTTTTGGTTTAATGGGTTTGAGGGTTTTTTAAATTACAGGGTCGAATCACAATTGGCGAAATACAGGCCGGATCGATTGCGGATGGCAACTTCCACTATGGGGACATAATGACGCACGTTAATGGCAAAAGAGTGACGGACATCAAGAGCGCAAGACCTGCAATTCTGGAAGCGATAAACAACAACAAAAGCCTAACCATTCGTGTGGAGCGCCCGGAACAATTGGGGGAAGTTTCTCATCTTCCGGCAGACGTGGCCAAAATCATCAAGCGACAAATCAACTTCCATCGCCATGCACACAAATATTCTGCATGTATCACTACAGCTGAACGGGAAGCGACAACATCTTCAATCCTCAGCCGAATAACAGCGGGACTTGCTGGAAACACATCAAGCAGATCTTCTCGTCGCTCCAGTCCAGAAGGTCAGTTTGCATTCACAAATAAATATTTCTAATTTTAATTGAAAACTTTTTTTTTCAGTTGGCACTGCCAGAGTCACGATTCAGCGACCATCATCAGGAGACGTGAGGGAAATTCCGGCAGACAGTACAGCTGACTTGAAGCGAACTCCACCGAGACCTGGCTCACAATAAGCGATTGGCCTTGAACACAAAGTGAGGAGAAAACAAGCAGTGTTCGAAGAATGGAGGAAGTGTGATAAATAATGTTGATATACCTGTATTTTTTAATGTTTTGTATCTCATAATTGTATGTATATTCATGTTTGTTTTTTGTTGTTGTAAATATTTGTATTGGTTGGTGTAAATAATAAATGTTTATTTTCGAGTTGTTTTTCTTTTTTTGGAATTTCTTTAAGCTTTGAATAATTCCCTAAACCATTTTTCTTTCTAGCCCTTAGAAATCTTAGACTTCGGCGACAGAGCCGTTTTTGATATTAAGGAAATCAATATCCAAACTTATTTTACTTTTTCCATACCTCTCTTGAAAATCCTTGAAAATTTTAGGTTTTTACAACGTATTTACTTTGGCCAACTTTAGTAGTACCATATTAAATTTAATTTTCTGTTCGCGACAAAATAACTTTGGATTAATTTTGGTGCTAAACTAATTTGGAGAGCGATTGATTTTTAAAATCAAGATTTATTTGATCAGATCAACTACGAAAGGTTACAAATCAATCCTGCTAGTAAAAATAATTTTCACATCAAAAGTTTTCAATTAATTAATAATTATTTAAATCGGTTAAGAATCAAAAAAGTTACGGCCCAAAATATACCATCAATGCTGAATAGGCCCTTTACCGACCACTCAAGTAGTTTTTGGTCCACAGCTTTTTCTATTATCTGAAATGGTAAAAATGTCCATTCAAAATTTTGTTATTCTAAAATACTTCCTTACCTTTTGAGAGGATACTTTATTTTATAAAAAATAAATTTATTTAATTTTTAGAGACAGGCAGCTTTTGTCAATTAAATTTTAATTTTCTGCAGCTAATTATTCCTTTTTTAAATGGCATCTTTACATGTTTGATTTTATTTTATAATTAAATTTTTTTATTTTTTTATAGATCAAATCCAAATTTGATTCAGAATTTCGACGTTTTTCACTTCCAATTAATACAGAAAATTTTATGAGTTATTTAGAATTTCGTGGTTTTATTGAAACAATTCATTCATTACACAACATTCCTTTTACACTTTCATACACAAGTTATTCTGGTGATTTACTTCCAATTACTAATAATGATGTTTGTTTGTTTTTTTAATCTAAAAATGGGTAAATTTATTTAATTCTATCAATTTGAGAATAATCTCGTTCTCGAAATTTTGACATTGAGAAGGTTATTGGGTAATTCTGTTATTTGTTTTCGAGCATCTTATTTATTAAAATTTCAATTTTTAATTCAAATTTATTTTTCTAGAATTTTCGAAAATCACTTGAATCCTCACGTCCATATCTTCAATTATTGATACAACGAAAAGGAGAGTCTTGGGAAGAAAAGTACGGTTATGGGACGGAATCTGCAGATAAACGGCGTCGTGGACTAGCATCTGTGCTTATTCCTTCGAATGCTGGAAGAGACAAACGAAATTATAATATTTCTAATCCTGAGGATTTTCGACAGGTTTTTTTTAGATTTATGATTAGTATCAAAAATCATTTCAACTTTCTGGTAACTTTTGTAAACTAATTATATTTTCCTTTCATTTTCCGGCTTTAAAATTAATTTTTGTTGGAAAATATTTTTTCTATTTTTCGGATTCTCTATTTTAAATTAGAGTTGATCAAGACGAGACCGATACCGAGACCGATACCGAGAGTCTCGGCTTTTTTCCAATATCGGTCTCGGTTTTTTCATTCTCGGTCTCGAAACCGATACCGATATTCTCGGCCCATTTCTCGGCGAGAAACGATACTGACTCATAGAAACAAAATTCTCAATATTGTCCAAGTTTTCGTCCATAATTTTTTCGGATACCCGTCCATAACAGAGAAAGTGAATTTTTTTCACATAAGGTCTTCTAAAATTCAAAAAATTTTCGCCTGCGGCGCTGAAAAAGGAAAAAATTTGGTGACTTGGCCTTCCAAAATTTAATAAATTTTCGTCTGCGGCGCTGAAATGTTGAATTTTCCGAGCCCTCGGCCGTTAGATTTTCAAGATTTTGATTACAGAGCCTTCCGATTTTCGGCAACTGTTGTTCTCACCAGTGGATTAAGGGGACTAAAGCGATCGGAAGCAGGGATGAGCGCATTGAGTTTTGCGCATCTGAGGGCAAAAATTGGAAGAAATCTGGCTTCATGCCCTCTAAAATTCTCAAATTTTTGTCTGCGGCGCTGAAAATGAGAAGAATTTTGGCTTTATGGACTTTCAAAACTACAAATTTTTGCCTGCGGCGCTGAAAATTGGAAGAAATCTTTTGAATTGCACTTCTAAGATTCTAAAAATTTTTGCCTGCGGCGCTGAAATAATGGTTTGGTTAACCGAAATTTTCACTTCGGCCATCTGCGGATATCCGCGGATGGATATGCCTCAAAAGTTGTCAGGATATAATTGGATACGGATGTCGACCTCACGGATATACCTATTGTGATACTGACACAAAAATTAGTATCCATTGCCAAGCCAGATCGGATCCAGATGATGAAGAGTATTTATCTGATGATTTGGATGATGAAAATAATGAATAAATTATTCTTACACGTATTTTTTGGCGTAAAATAAAATTTTCTGTTAGTCTCGGTCAGTATCGTTTCTCGGTATCGGTCTCGGCTCAAAATGTTGGTATCGGTCTCGATATCGGGTTCTTGAGTATCGGTCAATCTCGGTCTCGGGTTGGCCGATACCAGTATCGTTTTGATCAACTCTATTTTAAATGATACAAGTGTTTTCTCTTTAAAAATTTTTTAAATTTTAGGTTGCTCAAGTTATTGATGTGGATATTGTGCCTGTAACTCATCGTCGAGTACGTTTATGTAAATATGGAAGTAATGACCGTTCTTTGGGTTTTTACATTCGTGACGGTTTTTTTGACGTTTTATTTTAAAAATTAATTTATTTCTTTAGGTACTTCACTCCGAATGACTTCACAAGGACCAATTAAATGTGATGGAATATTCATTTCACGATTATTGGATGTGGACTTGCAAGCTCGACTGGTCTTTTAGGTGTTGGTGATGAAGTTGTTGAAGTTAATGGAATTGAGGTTTTCTTAAATTTTTAATTGAAAAATATTTTTTTGATTTTTTTAGGTTCACGGAAAGACTTTAGATCAAGTTGCCGATATGATGGTAGCAAATGCACATAATTTAATTATAACTATTAAACCAGCAAATCAGCGAAATTCTTTACAAAGGACAGGAAAGAATAGAAATTCTGGATATCAGGTTAATTTATTTTTTTTGGAAATAATTAGGAAATTTGAGAAAGAGTTGGGTTAAATAAACAAGAATTATCATTATTCACTCAAAAATAAATTAAATTTCATTTTACGGAGTTAGGAAGGCGGGCTTCTTCGAATTTGTGTTTTTAAAAAGCAAAATTTTTTTTTATAATTTCTAGGATGAAAGCCAAAACCTTTCTTCTTTTACAAATGATAAAATTCCAATAACAAATGGAAGTGGTGGAAGAGTATATCCAGCAAATCAACAAATAACACAACTACAAACATCTAACAATAACAATAATATTAAACATTTTCATTCACAAAATGAAAGGCAAAAACAACAACAATTATATGAAGAAGATAATGATGATGATGAGGGAGAAGAGGAAGAAGATGAAATTGTTGATCATACAAAAACAGCATTAAAAATTCGTTAAAAATATTTGTGATGTCTTAAAAATGAATTTCGATTTTTGTCACAAAATTTATTTTAATAATATTTACAATTAATATATTGTAAAAATATAAAAGATTTAATTTCTTTAAATATGTATATATTTTCTAAATTATTAAATTTAATTTAAAATACCTATCTTAATCTCTTATGTAATCGTTTTGATTTTTTACTCTAATGAAATACTCTAGTGACTCTTTTGCAAGACAAAATGTGCGAGATAGAGAAAAAAATTCGACGCCACATGATTGGCGTTCTGTAAATATTAAAACCAGCGCGAATTAAAATCGTTTTTTTGTCGCCATATTTTTTTTATCGCTGAAATCTTTATGCATTTACTAACTGAACTTTTTATTGTTTTGATTTTTGTTTTTTAATCGTTTAAGAATCCCAAATTTTAATTTTTTATAATTAAATTTTTCCATCTCCATATATTATTTAATGACTAATTTAGGCATGAATAATAACAATCAAGCGGCTTTAGACGCCCAACGCAATGCGCTGCAAGATGAGTTGAGGGAATTTCTTGATACGTGGATAAATCAGAACGAGAATGCAGATTGGGATGTCAACCCGCTGTTGCGGAGGTGAAGGGTTTTCATTTTAATTAACTTTTTCACAATTTAAGAATTGCCGAGTTGCTTGAGGAATCTACTAATGAATTTATGCAGAATAATCCAGATCCAATGGACGATAGGTCATTTTAAAATTATAGTTGCTTGTTATTAACTTAAAAATTATCTATTTTAGACATCCCTTAAAGTCTCAACCTTCGCATCCTCTTGGTCACCTGCTAAAGATGATTACTCGTGTTGAGAGTTTCGTCAATAAGGTTTTAAATTTAGTTATTTCGTATTCTTATTTTTAGCTTGTAATTTCCTATCTTATTGCTCGGGATAATATTGAGAGAAATGTCTTTGCTGCTCGACTCATTATCAATCTTCTTCCTGGAATTGATACGAATGTAGTTCTAGCGGTATTCTTTTATTTTTATTGTCTCAATTTTTAATTTTATTTGAGGATGCTGATTCTCTTATCACACAACTTTTTCGTTGGGCGGAACATTCGGAGTAGTGAACGACATATCGACTTTTTCTTAAGGAAAAAAAGTCGTTTTAAAAAAATCTACAATTATTCGCGAACGACTTTTTTTTAAACACACAACGCCAGAACTACGTAAATATCGATGTTTTGCGCCAAACGATTGCGAAACGACTTTTTTGTGTCTCTTTTTCTCTAATTTCACATTATATTTCCTTTCTCTTTTTCTATTAATTTTCGTTCGTGTAGTCTCTCCTTTGGAATTTGCAATTTTCCATTTTTATAAATGTTCAGTCCCTTTTCTGTAATTTTTAGGGATTTTTCCACATATATTCTTACTATATGGAGAGGAGAAGTAAGAGGAGATGATTTAGTCTGAGCAGCTTTAGCCAAAAGTGGATTGAAAGCCTTTAACAGGAAGATGAGTGAAATTTTCATTGAAAATCCGGAAAGTCTTTCCATCATCAGATGTGCTGCTTACCTTGATCCTGTCGTTTGTTTCCCCACCTCCCCTAAAACAGATCTCAAATTAAAAATCAAGACAAACTTTTTCGTGAAATTAATTTATGTATCCGTGATTCAAAAACAAAGTAAATAATTATAAGGACGACAAAACAAAATAAATTTAAAGAAAAACAAAGTCAACGAGGAGATCAATCCATCAAAACCTTTTACATTAATTTAATCAACTTCCTCCATACGCGAAGCGTCCTCCTCTGCACCGGCAATCTTTTCGACAGGTTCCCCAGAAGTGCAGGGTTGTTGCTCTCCTCCTTCCAAGTCCTCTTCAGTAATATCCAATCCTAGTTTTACCATTCGGTAAATACGTGAAGCGTGTTGTTGTGGATCTTCAAGAGAGAAGCCAGAAGTCAACAAAGCTGTCTCATAGAGCAAAACAACCAAATCTTTGGCAGTTTTGTCATCTTGGTCGGAGTCGATCGATTTGAAACAGACACTTTCTGAACTTTTTTGTCCAAAATATCCTAACACTAAAAATAAAACAAATATTCCAAAATACTTTAAACAAAATCTTAAATACCTTAATAACTTTGCAAATTGCATTCTTTCAATTGTTGAATGCAATATTCATCAATTGGATCAACCATATAAATAACTTCAAAACCTCGCTTCTTAACACGTTCAACAAAAGCTGAGTTTTGAACAACTTCTTTAGACTCGCCAGTAATATAATAAATGCAAGTCTGATTCTCCTTCATTCGTCCAACATAATCCTTCAAGCTAACAAGTTCATCGCCAGAAGAGGAAGTGTTGTAACGGAGATATTCGGCAAGCTTTTTACGGTTGACAGAATCTTCGTGAATACCCAACTAAAGAACAAATAATTTTCAAAAAAACATTTAAAAAAACCTTAAGATTCTTGCTGAATTGTTCATAAAATTTCTTAAAGTTGTCCTTGTCTTCAGCAATTTCATCAAAAAGTTCGATACACTTCTTGACCAAATTCTTTCGGATCACTTTAAGAATTTTGGATTGTTGGAGCATTTCACGAGAAATGTTAAGAGGAAAGTCCAATGGAGAGAATTCCATTGGAGAGACAACGACATAGAAAATTAATAGAAAAAGAGAAAGGAAATATAATGTGAAATTAGAGAAAAAGAGACACAAAAAAGTCGATTCGCAATCGTTTGGCGCAAAACATCGATATTAACGTAGTTCTGGCGTTGTGTGTTTAAAAAAAGTCGTTCGCGAATAAAAGTAGTTATTCGCCGCGAATCGACGAAAACGTAGATATGTCGTTCACTAATTCGGAGTCACGTGAATTGCGCACATATAGCATGGCTCTTCTTGGGGCAGCAATGGGCGCCGAGCAAGCTCATCAATATAGACAGAATAACACAGTGTTGATTCCTATAGCATTGCAAAGACTTCGAGCTCTCCATGTTTGTTTTTAAATTTATTTGAAATTTTTCATTATTCTTATTAATTGTGCTACTTTATAGGCAGAAATGCTTGAGAATAATCAAATTAAGAGTGATGAGTTTATTGCAGGAATTAACCAAAGGAATAACAGCAAGGCTAATCCCACAAATTTTGCTCATATGCGGGAGTCTGAGAAACATGAAAAAGAATTTGTAAGTTTTATTCGGACATTCTTTAGATAAATAATTCATTCCTTTCAGGCTTTTCCACTTAGACCTTTATCCTCAAGCAGAAAACGATCAGTTTCTTCTAGACGTATTGATGGAGTACATTCGCCTCCTCCAAAACGTCTTCCACCTTCACCAACATCACATAATGATGAGAAACAAGATTTGGAGGTTTCTTCAGAATTTACTTCTTGCTCAACTGCTACAAATAATGTTGTAAGCCCTTCGTCTGTAGAAACTTTAAGAGAAGCAACAGGATATGGAATTAGCTATTATGACGAATCTCCGGGTGTTGGTTGCAATAGCAACAGTAGTTGGCGTCAAACAATGCAGCCAATAATTGTTGGAACGCACAAATTATTCCCTTTATCAATTGAAATGGAACAACGATTGATCCTTCACTATTTGGGGCCAACAAGCGAATACCAGGATGTATGTTTATTATTATTACCATTTTTGAATAAATACATACCTCCATTTTTATTTAAATTTTGTAACCTTACATAGGGGCAAGTTAAGTATTTATAGCTTAATTTTTTATTGACTCAAATGTCAAATTAGTTTTCATTATTTTTCTCTCTTTTCCAGTTCTTTTTAGTAATTTTTCTATTGAAAAGATTTTACACTTGAGTATTTGATAACGTAAACCAACAAAAATATAAAAAATTAACAGCCATGAATTTTCTTTTAGATTTTAAACTAATATTCTTTTAGAATCTCTCAATTGTGTTGGAACATCATGCTTTGGATGTTGTTCTCTCGTATTTGGCGGTGGACGGATATCAACATACATGTCGCGATATTCGTCTTCTTTTTGATGCAATTCGTTACATATCATCACTTTTAATTCATCGGAAATTCGCTTGGGAGTTTATCTCAGCACAGGGTATTCAGAAATTGTTGAAAATCAATCGTCAATCATTGGCGCTCACGGCTGTCGCTACTTGTCTCTATTATTTGGCCTATTCTTCTGACATTATGGAAAAGGTTTAGAATTTCTCTTTAGTTAACTTACTAATTATTTTTAATTTAAGGTTTGTCATTTACCTGATTCCTTGCTAAATGAAATGGTCGATTATTCCTTATATGCATTAGATCATAGTCATGAGAGTGGTCGTGCATCAATTGCAATGTTTTTGGCTTACGCTTTACAATTTCGAGCAATTCTTGATCGATTTGATCAACGTTTGTTTAAATTAAAGCATTAAATCTATTTGTTTAGGTGATGGATTACGTCGTCTCTACAACTATGTTTCAACTCTCACGATTCTCCAGCGTAATGACATTGATGAGGATGATTTAATTAATGATGAACATTATATTCAAAGCATAGCTACAATTAAAAATGCTATATTTGCATTTAGAACGTAATTCTGGTTTATAATTAAAATTCATATATCCTTTTTTAGTTATTTATCTTCTCATGTCTTCCTTAAAATGGAAAATATGAAGCAACGTTCACAGCTCGGGAAAAGTAGTCACCATATGCATTATTATCAAGGCCGTCGAGTTCCGGCTATTCCACATGCCATTCCAAATATTGCTCATCCACATTCTAAACCAATGGCTTTAGATGAAGAAACTGAGAAGGGATGTATTGAATATTTGTTACGTACTCAATGTATGTTACAACCGCATCATCACAATTGGAAACCAGTGGAAGATATGCGCGTTTTGGGTGTTTTCCGTTTGTTATTTACTCTTATTTCTAAATACCCGGACTGGTGTCATTGGGAACGACAAGGAAAGGCAGATACACTTAAACTTGTTTTGGAGGTTTTGCGTTTGGCAACAGTTTCTCCTAAAGTTCAATTGGACTCTTGTGAAACGATGATGATTAGGCACACACCGATGCAGGGACTCGGGTATGTTCAGACTTAAAATCTTTTTTCGGTTTAAATTTATGGCTTTTTTTAAATTTTTAGTCTCATTCTGGAAATGGCAGATGGAGAACTAATTAATGATTCGCAAATACAACGTCTTTCTCTTGAAATTCTTAACAATTGTTTATGTAGCCCAACTGATCAGGACAACTATCTTGGACTGCATTATCGTTTTACTTGTGATTTTGATCGAGACATTCTCCCTAAAGAGTTGTCTGATAAATTGTCTGCTGTTTTCGATAAGCCAAGCGAAGTTCCACTAGTTCCGACAGCGCCCTTGAATAGTAATGTTGTTAGTCTTTTCTCTGGTCAGAGGCCATTAGTAACAAGAACATCGACAATTCCACAACATGTGACAGCTGCAGAATCCACTGTTAATAAAGATAAAGGAGTCAAATTATTCCTCGTACCTACGCAAATTTTGCATATTCTTTGGAAATGTGCGCAACAAAATAATGCAATAATGGTATATTTAAAATATTTATTGTACTTATTAGTGGTCGGCCAGAATCAAAATTTTGTTTTGATTCATGATAGTTATATTTTTTAATTGAAGGTGTTAACGTCCTTGTTACATAAGCAAAGCCCGGCTACGGAAGCGGATTTAATTCGAGAGCTAGCTTGTAGAGCATTAAATGGTGTTGCTCGTTTTGAACCAATTCGTCAGATTCTCTCTAAATTGCCAATTATTGCTGCAAATGAATTGAATGGTAGAATTCTAAATTTATGTGTTTTTTATCAAAATATTTTTAGCCTTAATGCAAACACCAATTTTATTGGAAAAACGTATTGAGCACAATCGTTTTTGTGAGCAGGCCCGTCATTTGATTGAATGTGTTAGTCAAACCAAATTACAGGACTTTACAGCTATGACAATGGAAATGACTCAGGTTTATTATCACTCAAGATAAATTAAGATAAACAAATTTTAAGGAAAATCTATGGCGTTCAGCTGTTGTTGCTCAAACTCGGATTAAATTTAATGAAAAGGAGCTTTTGCAACTTATCTACCAACATTTAACTGATATTGGCTTTAAAAAGACAGCCAGACAATTACAAACAGAGGCAGAATTGCCTAATTTTCCAGCAAGTCGTATTCCTTCTACACCTGCTTCTTTGCCTGGATTTGTAATAGTTTCTTTATAAATTTTTAAATAGTCATACTTTCAGCCTCGTCAAAATCCAACTTCGTTTGCAAATGTTATTGCACGACGCATTTTGAAATTTGATGGGAATATTGCGCAAATAGCCAATAATGGTTCTAATACGGGTAAAATTTGATTATAATTTTTTATATATTTTATTTTCATAATAGAAACTCTTCCCATGTCAGTAGCTAATGCATCTGCAACTCGTTGTCATTCAGCACTAACCAACAATACAACTATAATTGGCAACCGAATTCCAATGAAAATTCATATGAATACAACAAACACTCCAACAGCTATCGGCAATTCATTGCTTCCTTTCTCTTCTGCTAGTTATTCTGATGGCCGAACTCCGTTAGGACAATCTTCAGTTACATCAACTCCAGGACCATCAATTAGCACTTCTAGCATTTCGTTTTCCTTGAAAGTTCGACCACATAAATCCCTTAGTGATATTGTTCATTCTTACTTTCGCAACGAACATGCAATGTGTCGAAATCCGGTAGCAAATTGTCCTCCCTTTTCTTTATTTTAGTAAGTTTCTGTATTTATTTTAGATTACATAATTTTAATTTTACAGTCCTCATCGTTGTCCCGAACCTAAATTATTATATTCCCCTCCCTCCAATTTTGTCAATCGCCTTCGTTATCGCTCTAATCCGCCATATAGATGCACAATGGAAGTCCTCAGCTGTTGTTATTTCCTTAAAAGGAAACAGATATTAAAAAAGGGGTCTCTTTTGATTTGCCGATACCTCATCATTCAGTCGGATGATCTCATCGCCAACGTAGACACGCCCATACAAATAGGAGTCGAAGCTCATTTTGCGCACTCTGGGTGGCCTGCTTCCCTCAACGAACTCGATTCTGGGCTCTGTGGACCGGCGAGTGACTTGGACGCTCACTTCGGTGATTGACCCTGAAAATAAAAGAAAGGCGCTAAGAGAAATTTATGATGGCAAAAACTAACGATTAGCCGACTTTTGCGGCGCGTACACTTGCGGCTCAGACATTTGCGGCCCAGACACTTGCGGCTCGCCCCTATTTTGACACTTGCGGTCCCGACACTTGCGGCTAAGAAATTTTCGGCGCAGACATTTGCGGCTATCAACTTGAGGCCCAGACACTTGCGGCCCAGACTATTGCGGTTTTGTCATTTGAGGCTCCCCCCTATTGTGACACTTGCGGCCCTGACATTTGAGGTTTTGACATTTGCGGCCCCGACATTTGCGGCGATGATTAAAAAATGAAGTAAATTAAAATATTATTAGAATTAAAGTATTATAAACCGAACCAGATCCGGTCCGGATTTTCCGGATCCGGTGGTTTGGAATCCGGGTATTTCGATAAAACCCGTATTTCCCGGATTTTGATCAGGAAAATTCGATACGGGTCGAGCAAAATACCCGGATTCGGTCCGGGTCCGGTATTAAAAATAACCCAAATCCCACAAAATTTCGTAAAAATAAAAAAAATTGGAAAAAATTTTTAAAAAATTCATGTCATTAGGAATGAGCGAAACGAAATGAAACGAAATTTCGGTTATCTCTGGTCCGGATATGGTCTAAAAAATTTGGATTTCCGGATTATGATGCCAAGGAGAATAAACTTGGAGAATAAAATTGATTTATTGAACGATAAATTAGTATTTTTTTATTTTAATTTACTTCATTTTTTAATCATCGCCGCAAATGTCGGGGCCGCAAATGTCAAAACCTCAAATGTCAGGGCCGCAAGTGTCACAATAGGGGGAGCCTCAAATGGCAAAACCGCAATAGTCTGGGCCGCAAGTGTCTGGGCCTCAAGTTGATAGCCGCAAATGTCTGCGCCGAAAATTTCTTAGCCGCAAGTGTCGGGACCGCAAGTGTCAAAATAGGGGCGAGCCGCAAGTGTCTGGGCCGCAAATGTCTGAGCCGCAAGTGTACGCGCCGCAAAAGTCGCATCACCAAACTAACCACGTATTGACATGGCAAATCGGTACCAAACAGATTTGTTGAAAAGCAGTGGCACAGAAGAAAGCAGCGGCAGGAACAGGAACAGCAGTAAGCATAAGTCCGCTGCTTTTATAATACATCTAATTCGGAGAAGAAATGCGAATACCAAGAACTATGTATAAAAACAGGTCATTTTTCCAACGAAACAACCTCCGCACAGATCAACCAACAATTACAACGCCACTGCTGCTCAACAAGTCTTCTGCCGCTACTGTCGTCTACGCCGCTGCTGCTCAACAAGTCTCCTGCCGCTACTGTCGTCTACGTCGCTGCTGCTCAACAACTCTGAGTCGCAATGTCAGTCCGAAGTAAGTTGTGACTTTCTTCGATTTTGCTTAATCTCTAATCTAATTGACATTTATTTTTTCAGGCTCGGTCAGCGAAATAAATGTCGAGGTCAAGCGCAAGCAATACGACCCCAGGATCGAGTTCGTTGAGAGGAGCAGGCCGCCGAAAGTTAAAAAAGTGGGCTACAACTCCTACCTGAATGGCATTCTCTACGTTGGTGATGAGATCATCGGCCTGAATGATGAGGTATCTGCGAGAGGAAGGCAAGGCTTTTAATGCTTATCAAAATTTTTTAGGAGATCCGTACAGCAGATGACTTCAACAGTATCGTGTGTGCTCGCCGTACTGAACCAGTCAGGCTCCGAATCCGAGTGCGCCGGGACTGCTACTACAAGATCACCATCAAGAGGGTGGAAGGCGAACAAGGCAAGGGGGAAGTGCTGGACTTGGAGATCAAATGGCGACGAGGCGGTATGCCTCTAGGGGTGAGCATGGAAGAGAGTCGGGTGAGCCAATCAGTTTTGGTTTAATGGGTTTGAGGGTTTTTTAAATTACAGGGTCGAATCACAATTGGCGAAATACAGGCCGGATCGATTGCGGATGGCAACTTCCACTATGGGGACATAATGACGCACGTTAATGGCAAAAGAGTGACGGACATCAAGAGCGCAAGACCTGCAATTCTGGAAGCGATAAACAACAACAAAAGCCTAACCATTCGTGTGGAGCGCCCGGAACAATTGGGGGAAGTTTCTCATCTTCCGGCAGACGTGGCCAAAATCATCAAGCGACAAATCAACTTCCATCGCCATGCACACAAATATTCTGCATGTATCACTACAGCTGAACGGGAAGCGACAACATCTTCAATCCTCAGCCGAATAACAGCGGGACTTGCTGGAAACACATCAAGCAGATCTTCTCGTCGCTCCAGTCCAGAAGGTCAGTTTGCATTCACAAATAAATATTTCTAATTTTAATTGAAAACTTTTTTTTTCAGTTGGCACTGCCAGAGTCACGATTCAGCGACCATCATCAGGAGACGTGAGGGAAATTCCGGCAGACAGTACAGCTGACTTGAAGCGAACTCCACCGAGACCTGGCTCACAATAAGCGATTGGCCTTGAACACAAAGTGAGGAGAAAACAAGCAGTGTTCGAAGAATGGAGGAAGTGTGATAAATAATGTTGATATACCTGTATTTTTTAATGTTTTGTATCTCATAATTGTATGTATATTCATGTTTGTTTTTTGTTGTTGTAAATATTTGTATTGGTTGGTGTAAATAATAAATGTTTATTTTCGAGTTGTTTTTCTTTTTTTGGAATTTCTTTAAGCTTTGAATAATTCCCTAAACCATTTTTCTTTCTAGCCCTTAGAAATCTTAGACTTCGGCGACAGAGCCGTTTTTGATATTAAGGAAATCAATATCCAAACTTATTTTACTTTTTCCATACCTCTCTTGAAAATCCTTGAAAATTTTAGGTTTTTACAACGTATTTACTTTGGCCAACTTTAGTAGTACCATATTAAATTTAATTTTCTGTTCGCGACAAAATAACTTTGGATTAATTTTGGTGCTAAACTAATTTGGAGAGCGATTGATTTTTAAAATCAAGATTTATTTGATCAGATCAACTACGAAAGGTTACAAATCAATCCTGCTAGTAAAAATAATTTTCACATCAAAAGTTTTCAATTAATTAATAATTATTTAAATCGGTTAAGAATCAAAAAAGTTACGGCCCAAAATATACCATCAATGCTGAATAGGCCCTTTACCGACCACTCAAGTAGTTTTTGGTCCACAGCTTTTTCTATTATCTGAAATGGTAAAAATGTCCATTCAAAATTTTGTTATTCTAAAATACTTCCTTACCTTTTGAGAGGATACTTTATTTTATAAAAAATAAATTTATTTAATTTTTAGAGACAGGCAGCTTTTGTCAATTAAATTTTAATTTTCTGCAGCTAATTATTCCTTTTTTAAATGGCATCTTTACATGTTTGATTTTATTTTATAATTAAATTTTTTTATTTTTTTATAGATCAAATCCAAATTTGATTCAGAATTTCGACGTTTTTCACTTCCAATTAATACAGAAAATTTTATGAGTTATTTAGAATTTCGTGGTTTTATTGAAACAATTCATTCATTACACAACATTCCTTTTACACTTTCATACACAAGTTATTCTGGTGATTTACTTCCAATTACTAATAATGATGTTTGTTTGTTTTTTTAATCTAAAAATGGGTAAATTTATTTAATTCTATCAATTTGAGAATAATCTCGTTCTCGAAATTTTGACATTGAGAAGGTTATTGGGTAATTCTGTTATTTGTTTTCGAGCATCTTATTTATTAAAATTTCAATTTTTAATTCAAATTTATTTTTCTAGAATTTTCGAAAATCACTTGAATCCTCACGTCCATATCTTCAATTATTGATACAACGAAAAGGAGAGTCTTGGGAAGAAAAGTACGGTTATGGGACGGAATCTGCAGATAAACGGCGTCGTGGACTAGCATCTGTGCTTATTCCTTCGAATGCTGGAAGAGACAAACGAAATTATAATATTTCTAATCCTGAGGATTTTCGACAGGTTTTTTTTAGATTTATGATTTTAGTATCAAAAATCATTTCAACTTTCTGGTAACTTTTGTAAACTAATTATATTTTCCTTTCATTTTCCGGCTTTAAAATTAATTTTTGTTGGAAAATATTTTTTCTATTTTTCGGATTCTCTATTTTAAATTAGAGTTGATCAAGACGAGACCGATACCGAGACCGATACCGAGAGTCTCGGCTTTTTTCCAATATCGGTCTCGGTTTTTTCATTCTCGGTCTCGAAACCGATACCGATATTCTCGGCCCATTTCTCGGCGAGAAACGATACTGACTCATAGAAACAAAATTCTCAATATTGTCCAAGTTTTCGTCCATAATTTTTTCGGATACCCGTCCATAACAGAGAAAGTGAATTTTTTTCACATAAGGTCTTCTAAAATTCAAAAAATTTTCGCCTGCGGCGCTGAAAAAGGAAAAAATTTGGTGACTTGGCCTTCCAAAATTTAATAAATTTTCGTCTGCGGCGCTGAAATGTTGAATTTTCCGAGCCCTCGGCCGTTAGATTTTCAAGATTTTGATTACAGAGCCTTCCGATTTTCGGCAACTGTTGTTCTCACCAGTGGATTAAGGGGACTAAAGCGATCGGAAGCAGGGATGAGCGCATTGAGTTTTGCGCATCTGAGGGCAAAAATTGGAAGAAATCTGGCTTCATGCCCTCTAAAATTCTCAAATTTTTGTCTGCGGCGCTGAAAATGAGAAGAATTTTGGCTTTATGGACTTTCAAAACTACAAATTTTTGCCTGCGGCGCTGAAAATTGGAAGAAATCTTTTGAATTGCACTTCTAAGATTCTAAAAATTTTTGCCTGCGGCGCTGAAATAATGGTTTGGTTAACCGAAATTTTCACTTCGGCCATCTGCGGATATCCGCGGATGGATATGCCTCAAAAGTTGTCAGGATATAATTGGATACGGATGTCGACCTCACGGATATACCTATTCGGATACTGACACAAAAATTAGTATCCATTGCCAAGCCAGATCGGATCCAGATGATGAAGAGTATTTATCTGATGATTTGGATGATGAAAATAATGAATAAATTATTCTTACACGTATTTTTTGGCGTAAAATAAAATTTTCTGTTAGTCTCGGTCAGTATCGTTTCTCGGTATCGGTCTCGGCTCAAAATGTTGGTATCGGTCTCGATATCGGGTTCTTGAGTATCGGTCAATCTCGGTCTCGGGTTGGCCGATACCAGTATCGTTTTGATCAACTCTATTTTAAATGATACAAGTGTTTTCTCTTTAAAAATTTTTTAAATTTTAGGTTGCTCAAGTTATTGATGTGGATATTGTGCCTGTAACTCATCGTCGAGTACGTTTATGTAAATATGGAAGTAATGACCGTTCTTTGGGTTTTTACATTCGTGACGGTTTTTTTGACGTTTTATTTTAAAAATTAATTTATTTCTTTAGGTACTTCACTCCGAATGACTTCACAAGGACCAATTAAATGTGATGGAATATTCATTTCACGATTATTGGATGGTGGACTTGCAAGCTCGACTGGTCTTTTAGGTGTTGGTGATGAAGTTGTTGAAGTTAATGGAATTGAGGTTTTCTTAAATTTTTAATTGAAAAATATTTTTTTGATTTTTTTAGGTTCACGGAAAGACTTTAGATCAAGTTGCCGATATGATGGTAGCAAATGCACATAATTTAATTATAACTATTAAACCAGCAAATCAGCGAAATTCTTTACAAAGGACAGGAAAGAATAGAAATTCTGGATATCAGGTTAATTTATTTTTTTTGGAAATAATTAGGAAATTTGAGAAAGAGTTGGGTTAAATAAACAAGAATTATCATTATTCACTCAAAAATAAATTAAATTTCATTTTACGGAGTTAGGAAGGCGGGCTTCTTCGAATTTGTGTTTTTAAAAAGCAAAATTTTTTTTTATAATTTCTAGGATGAAAGCCAAAACCTTTCTTCTTTTACAAATGATAAAATTCCAATAACAAATGGAAGTGGTGGAAGAGTATATCCAGCAAATCAACAAATAACACAACTACAAACATCTAACAATAACAATAATATTAAACATTTTCATTCACAAAATGAAAGGCAAAAACAACAACAATTATATGAAGAAGATAATGATGATGATGAGGGAGAAGAGGAAGAAGATGAAATTGTTGATCATACAAAAACAGCATTAAAAATTCGTTAAAAATATTTGTGATGTCTTAAAAATGAATTTCGATTTTTGTCACAAAATTTATTTTAATAATATTTACAATTAATATATTGTAAAAATATAAAAGATTTAATTTCTTTAAATATGTATATATTTTCTAAATTATTAAATTTAATTTAAAATACCTATCTTAATCTCTTATGTAATCGTTTTGATTTTTTACTCTAATGAAATACTCTAGTGACTCTTTTGCAAGACAAAATGTGCGAGATAGAGAAAAAAATTCGACGCCACATGATTGGCGTTCTGTAAATATTAAAACCAGCGCGAATTAAAATCGTTTTTTTGTCGCCATATTTTTTTTATCGCTGAAATCTTTATGCATTTACTAACTGAACTTTTTATTGTTTTGATTTTTGTTTTTTAATCGTTTAAGAATCCCAAATTTTAATTTTTTATAATTAAATTTTTCCATCTCCATATATTATTTAATGACTAATTTAGGCATGAATAATAACAATCAAGCGGCTTTAGACGCCCAACGCAATGCGCTGCAAGATGAGTTGAGGGAATTTCTTGATACGTGGATAAATCAGAACGAGAATGCAGATTGGGATGTCAACCCGCTGTTGCGGAGGTGAAGGGTTTTCATTTTAATTAACTTTTTCACAATTTAAGAATTGCCGAGTTGCTTGAGGAATCTACTAATGAATTTATGCAGAATAATCCAGATCCAATGGACGATAGGTCATTTTAAAATTATAGTTGCTTGTTATTAACTTAAAAATTATCTATTTTAGACATCCCTTAAAGTCTCAACCTTCGCATCCTCTTGGTCACCTGCTAAAGATGATTACTCGTGTTGAGAGTTTCGTCAATAAGGTTTTAAATTTAGTTATTTCGTATTCTTATTTTTAGCTTGTAATTTCCTATCTTATTGCTCGGGATAATATTGAGAGAAATGTCTTTGCTGCTCGACTCATTATCAATCTTCTTCCTGGAATTGATACGAATGTAGTTCTAGCGGTATTCTTTTATTTTTATTGTCTCAATTTTTAATTTTATTTGAGGATGCTGATTCTCTTATCACACAACTTTTTCGTTGGGCGGAACATTCGGAGTCACGTGAATTGCGCACATATAGCATGGCTCTTCTTGGGGCAGCAATGGGCGCCGAGCAAGCTCATCAATATAGACAGAATAACACAGTGTTGATTCCTATAGCATTGCAAAGACTTCGAGCTCTCCATGTTTGTTTTTAAATTTATTTGAAATTTTTCATTATTCTTATTAATTGTGCTACTTTATAGGCAGAAATGCTTGAGAATAATCAAATTAAGAGTGATGAGTTTATTGCAGGAATTAACCAAAGGAATAACAGCAAGGCTAATCCCACAAATTTTGCTCATATGCGGGAGTCTGAGAAACATGAAAAAGAATTTGTAAGTTTTATTCGGACATTCTTTAGATAAATAATTCATTCCTTTCAGGCTTTTCCACTTAGACCTTTATCCTCAAGCAGAAAACGATCAGTTTCTTCTAGACGTATTGATGGAGTACATTCGCCTCCTCCAAAACGTCTTCCACCTTCACCAACATCACATAATGATGAGAAACAAGATTTGGAGGTTTCTTCAGAATTTACTTCTTGCTCAACTGCTACAAATAATGTTGTAAGCCCTTCGTCTGTAGAAACTTTAAGAGAAGCAACAGGATATGGAATTAGCTATTATGACGAATCTCCGGGTGTTGGTTGCAATAGCAACAGTAGTTGGCGTCAAACAATGCAGCCAATAATTGTTGGAACGCACAAATTATTTCCTTTAACAATTGAAATGGAACAGCGATTGATCCTTCACTATTTGGGGCCAACAAGCGAATACCAGGATGTATGTTTATTATTATTACCATTTTTGAATAAATACATACCTCCATTTTTATTTAAATTTTGTAACCTTACATAGGGGCAAGTTAAGTATTTATAGCTTAATTTTTTATTGACTCAAATGTCAAATTAGTTTTCATTATTTTTCTCTCTTTTCCAGTTCTTTTTAGTAATTTTTCTATTGAAAAGATTTTACACTTGAGTATTTGATAACGTAAACCAACAAAAATATAAAAAATTAACAGCCATGAATTTTCTTTTAGATTTTAAACTAATATTCTTTTAGAATCTCTCAATTGTGTTGGAACATCATGCTTTGGATGTTGTTCTCTCGTATTTGGCGGTGGACGGATATCAACATACATGTCGCGATATTCGTCTTCTTTTTGATGCAATTCGTTACATATCATCACTTTTAATTCATCGGAAATTCGCTTGGGAGTTTATCTCAGCACAGGGTATTCAGAAATTGTTGAAAATCAATCGTCAATCATTGGCGCTCACGGCTGTCGCTACTTGTCTCTATTATTTGGCCTATTCTTCTGACATTATGGAAAAGGTTTAGAATTTCTCTTTAGTTAACTTACTAATTATTTTTAATTTAAGGTTTGTCATTTACCTGATTCCTTGCTAAATGAAATGGTCGATTATTCCTTATATGCATTAGATCATAGTCATGAGAGTGGTCGTGCATCAATTGCAATGTTTTTGGCTTACGCTTTACAATTTCGAGCAATTCTTGATCGATTTGATCAACGTTTGTTTAAATTAAAGCATTAAATCTATTTGTTTAGGTGATGGATTACGTCGTCTCTACAACTATGTTTCAACTCTCACGATTCTCCAGCGTAATGACATTGATGAGGATGATTTAATTAATGATGAACATTATATTCAAAGCATAGCTACAATTAAAAATGCTATATTTGCATTTAGAACGTAATTCTGGTTTATAATTAAAATTCATATATCCTTTTTTAGTTATTTATCTTCTCATGTCTTCCTTAAAATGGAAAATATGAAGCAACGTTCACAGCTCGGGAAAAGTAGTCACCATATGCATTATTATCAAGGCCGTCGAGTTCCGGCTATTCCACATGCCATTCCAAATATTGCTCATCCACATTCTAAACCAATGGCTTTAGATGAAGAAACTGAGAAGGGATGTATTGAATATTTGTTACGTACTCAATGTATGTTACAACCGCATCATCACAATTGGAAACCAGTGGAAGATATGCGCGTTTTGGGTGTTTTCCGTTTGTTATTTACTCTTATTTCTAAATACCCGGACTGGTGTCATTGGGAACGACAAGGAAAGGCAGATACACTTAAACTTGTTTTGGAGGTTTTGCGTTTGGCAACAGTTTCTCCTAAAGTTCAATTGGACTCTTGTGAAACGATGATGATTAGGCACACACCGATGCAGGGACTCGGGTATGTTCAGACTTAAAATCTTTTTTCGGTTTAAATTTATGGCTTTTTTTAAATTTTTAGTCTCATTCTGGAAATGGCAGATGGAGAACTAATTAATGATTCGCAAATACAACGTCTTTCTCTTGAAATTCTTAACAATTGTTTATGTAGCCCAACTGATCAGGACAACTATCTTGGACTGCATTATCGTTTTACTTGTGATTTTGATCGAGACATTCTCCCTAAAGAGTTGTCTGATAAATTGTCTGTTGTTTTCGATAAGCCAAGCGAAGTTCCACTAGTTCCGACAGCGCCCTTGAATAGTAATGTTGTTAGTCTTTTCTCTGGTCAGAGGCCATTAGTAACAAGAACATCGACAATTCCACAACATGTGACAGCTGCAGAATCCACTGTTAATAAAGATAAAGGAGTCAAATTATTCCTCGTACCTACGCAAATTTTGCATATTCTTTGGAAATGTGCGCAACAAAATAATGCAATAATGGTATATTTAAAATATTTATTGTACTTATTAGTGGTCGGCCAGAATCAAAATTTTGTTTTGATTCATGATAGTTATATTTTTTAATTGAAGGTGTTAACGTCCTTGTTACATAAGCAAAGCCCGGCTACGGAAGCGGATTTAATTCGAGAGCTAGCTTGTAGAGCATTAAATGGTGTTGCTCGTTTTGAACCAATTCGTCAGATTCTCTCTAAATTGCCAATTATTGCTGCAAATGAATTGAATGGTAGAATTCTAAATTTATGTGTTTTTTATCAAAATATTTTTAGCCTTAATGCAAACACCAATTTTATTGGAAAAACGTATTGAGCACAATCGTTTTTGTGAGCAGGCCCGTCATTTGATTGAATGTGTTAGTCAAACCAAATTACAGGACTTTACAGCTATGACAATGGAAATGACTCAGGTTTATTATCACTCAAGATAAATTAAGATAAACAAATTTTAAGGAAAATCTATGGCGTTCAGCTGTTGTTGCTCAAACTCGGATTAAATTTAATGAAAAGGAGCTTTTGCAACTTATCTACCAACATTTAACTGATATTGGCTTTAAAAAGACAGCCAGACAATTACAAACAGAGGCAGAATTGCCTAATTTTCCAGCAAGTCGTATTCCTTCTACACCTGCTTCTTTGCCTGGATTTGTAATAGTTTCTTTATAAATTTTTAAATAGTCATACTTTCAGCCTCGTCAAAATCCAACTTCGTTTGCAAATGTTATTGCACGACGCATTTTGAAATTTGATGGGAATATTGCGCAAATAGCCAATAATGGTTCTAATACGGGTAAAATTTGATTATAATTTTTTATATATTTTATTTTCATAATAGAAACTCTTCCCATGTCAGTAGCTAATGCATCTGCAACTCGTTGTCATTCAGCACTAACCAACAATACAACTATAATTGGCAACCGAATTCCAATGAAAATTCATATGAATACAACAAACACTCCAACAGCTATCGGCAATTCATTGCTTCCTTTCTCTTCTGCTAGTTATTCTGATGGCCGAACTCCGTTAGGACAATCTTCAGTTACATCAACTCCAGGACCATCAATTAGCACTTCTAGCATTTCGTTTTCCTTGAAAGTTCGACCACATAAATCCCTTAGTGATATTGTTCATTCTTACTTTCGCAACGAACATGCAATGTGTCGAAATCCGGTAGCAAATTGTCCTCCCTTTTCTTTATTTTAGTAAGTTTCTGTATTTATTTTAGATTACATAATTTTAATTTTACAGTCCTCATCGTTGTCCCGAACCTAAATTATTATATTCCCCTCCCTCCAATTTTGTCAATCGCCTTCGTTATCGCTCTAATCCGCCATATAGATGCACAATGGAAGCATTGAGGAGAGAAGATCGACGCCTTGTTTTCAGCAAATTTAGGTTTAATTTTAATTGTGAATACTTTTTATTTATTTTTATTTATGTTTAGACAATCAAAAACTTTTATTGAAGAAAACGAAACCTTTACATGCTGTCAACTTTCGGTGACTTATTTAATTTTTCAAACATTTTTTCCTTTTACTTTAGCATAACGATGAGCATGTTTTTCTTGGAACTTATGCGGGTGAAATGTTTGTTTTTAATATGAGAACTGGTGTTGTGGATTCAAGCTATACTTGGTATATTATTTAAATTATTTAGTTAAAATTTAAATTGTCAGTCATCATTCCTCTATAACTTCTATTCGTCCTACAAAGGTAATAAATAAATAAACTTAACAAATTTAAATATTTCTTTTAAAGGATCGTTTAATGCTTACATCATCAGCTTTTGTCAAACCATTTTCTATTCTTTGGCGCCTAGAATCTAACGGTATTTCAATGAGTGAGCGTTTGACAGAATTTAAAGAAGACCAATTTGTTGAATTTGGAAATCTTTCAAACAATCAAATTGTTGGAACACAAGTAAGGGATTTTTTATATAAAAATTTAAAAAATTCTTTTTTCAAATTAAATTCTTTTTAAGGGTCCAAAGGCATTTGTTTATGATACAGAAACATCCTCTCCTGTTGTTGTTCTTTTTGATGAACGTCTTGCAAATCATTATACTCGTAATCATGCCTATTTTGACCCAATGGATGAATTAATATTAAATGATGGAATTCTCTTTGATCCAAGAATTGGTCCTCATGCTAGAGTTGTTCATAAATTTGACAAAATGAATTTGGATAATAGTGGTATTTTTCATCCACGTGGCACGGAAGTTATTATTAATAGAGAAGTTGTAAGTTGTTTTTATTATTTTTCAAAGATTTTTTTAAACTTAATTTAGTGGGATCTTCGTACACGTCGTTTAATGCATACTGTTCCGGCATTAAACCAATGTCAATTAGCCTTCAATCCCACTGGTTCTATTATGTTTGGAATTGTTCATCAAGATGCTGCTTCAGAAATTGATGATCGTTTTTTCCACATTTTTGGCAATTTCTTTAGAACTTTTGATTCTACAAATTATGAGGTTGTGAAAAGATTTTTTTGTTAATTATTAATATTTTAATTAATTTTTAAGGTAATATCAACTCATGATACCCGAAAACCTCTTCTAGATTTGTGCACTAGCCATTCCGATAATTTTGTTGGTGTTGTGGAAATTAGTCGAAATTCAGATGAAGATACAAATCTTTTTAAACTTTACGAAATTGGACGTCGTCGTGAAGTAGATGAAGAGGATGATGATGATCAGGATGAGGCAAATCCTGATGAGGAAGAAGATGACGATATTTATTCTTCAAGCACTGCTGATACAGTGAGTTCAGCCGGGACAGTACGCAACGACGAAGATGACGAGAGAAATTCAGATAGTGGAGGAGATCTGGTAGTAATACTTTAGAAAAAATTGATAATAAATAATAATTATTGAAAAATTATTTTATTTTTTGTTGTTAAATTCTGTAATATATAAATATTATTTAGCCCATTTTACTCCAATTATTACCCTTCATAAGAAACTACGAGGGGGTGTTTTTTGAATTTTCTGGGCGTAGTTATTAGAATGTCCCAAGTTATTAAAAAAATCGCTCCTTTCCAATAATAATTTAAAAATTTAAAAAATTACATTTTTATAGTCAACACAAAGCATGAATGGCGAAGACTTATTTTCTGCTAATGGAGATGGATCGATGAGTGAACAAGATGACGAGGATAATGACGAGCATCAAATTGGTCTTGGAGAATTGGCAGGTGCTGAAATTGATTTTGATGAAGATGATGATTCTTCTTATTCTGATGAGGACTTCCCAACTGATTCAAACGATGATTACTCACCATAAATTATTATTTTTTTGTTTCTTTTCTTTTTGTTTTTTTTCTGTGTATTGCTCGAGAATATTTAATCTATCGTTTTTTTGGTTTTTAAATTGATTTTGTGTGATATCTGAAATATATTTGGATTTTAATTCACAAAATTTATTTTTGTAAATATTTCTTAATTACATTTATGTTTTCCTTTTTTGATGGAAATTACTTTAAATAGATCTCCAATTAAGTTGATTTGTCTATCTTTATTCGTTTCTTTAATTGCTATTTTCTTCACACTTTTCTTATCATTTGAAAATAAGAATAGATTCCCAGCATATTCTGGCGAAGTTTGGTATTTATTTATTGCTCATCCAGATGATGAAACGTAAAAAAATATTTTGATTTTCTCAAATTGGAAATTCCAATTTATAGAATGTTCTTTTCCCCAACACTTTTTACTCTTAAATCTGTGGGTGTTGTTTTACATATTTTCTGCATTACTTCTGGTGATTCTGATGGAAATGGTTAAGAGTGAATATTTTATAAATCAAGAAATTTCGGGTTTTAGGTTTAATTAGAATTAAAGAGTTGAGTGAAGCTTCCAATACTTATGGAATTCCAAATGATCATGTACACATTTTGGATCCAAAGGGGAAAATATTTGTTGATGGTTTTGTTGAATGGAATATTACTAGTCTTGCTGAAGTATTATTAAAAAGAATAAAACAACCACCTAAAGGAATAATTACTTTTGATGAATGGGGTGTTAGTGGACATCCAAATCATATTAATTGCTTTAAAACAATTAAACTTTTAACTAAACGATGGAATAATACAAAGTTTTTTGCCTTACAAAGTGTACCTTTGTGGAGAAAATATTTAAGCTTTTTTGATGTTTATTTAACAGAATTATTAGAAGGAGATAAACAAATTGTTTGTATAACTTGGTCTGGTCCGGCAAGGTACTTACAAATATTTAAAAGAAATTTTCTCTTAATTTACAGTGCTTACAAAATAATGACTAACCATTATAAATCTCAAATGCGTTGGTTTAGATATTTTTATTTAATTTTTTCACGTTATTTGTATATTAACAACTTTGTTTTAATTGAATAAAAAATATGTATTTATTGAAATATTTGAAAAATATTAGTGGCCGAACACATCTCTGAAAATAGCAAGAGATCCCACGAGGCATTGTGAACTTAGAATGATTTTTTGTTTACGAGCCTGATCTATTGAAAGAGTTCAGGAAAGTGACTATCGGGAGAAGTAGAAAAGGTTCTAGTTGTATTAGTAAAGGATTAAGCTTATCAAAAGTTTTTGAATTATAAATCCGATAAATCTCTTTGAATTGACTATAAAAGCAATCTTCTAAATCCTATATTAAATTTTAGAATGCTTTGTTTGTCCGCAGCTTTAAATTTTGCTTTGTTTGGCGTTATGTTTATTTTTTAATTAAAAATGACAAAATATCCCAAAAAAGAAAATAGTGTGTAGTTAGAGAAGTAAAGAAAGAATGTGAATTTTTTTTAATTTGTTTTGACTTTTTTTGGATTTTTTTTAAATTTTTTTGTTTGTTAATTGTATTAAGATGTTTTTTGATTGTTTTTTTGTTTTGTTTCTTAAAATTTGTTTTAAGTAAGAAAAATAATGTGTATTTAGGGAAATTTTAATTTTTTTGTTTGTTAATTATATTTAAGATGTATTTTGATTGTTTTGTTTTTTAGTTTTTTAAAATTTATTTTATTTAGAAATTGTTTTTAAGTTCAAAACCAAAACGATTATTTATTCAAACAACGAGTGTCCAACCGGTGGTTAATTTAGTATTTAATTTAAACAAGGAGAGCGTCCAACCGGTGGTTAATTTTTGTGAGGTATGTTTCTTAACATAATTATAGTTAGGTTTTTGTGTTTGACAATGCGATACTAAATAGTTGACAGTCCTAGATAGTTTGATGCAGTGAGATACTAAATAGTTGATAGTCCCAGATATTTTGATAGGTGAGATAAAGTAGTTGATAGTCCTAGATAGTTTGATACAGTGAGATACATAGTAGTTGATAGTCCTAGAGTTTGACATTGTGTGACACTAAATAGTTGATAGTCCTAGAGTTTGACATTGTGTGATACTAAATAGCTTATAATTGATAGTACTAGCAAGGCTGACATAGTGTGATGCTAAATAGTTGATAGTCCTAGAGTTTGACATTGTGTGACACTAAATAGGTGAGAGTACTAGAGTGACTAACAGTTGTAGTATACAGTTGTAGTATATATAGTAAAAAAGTTCTTTAACTATTAACTATTAACTATCGGTTGTAGTATATATAGTAAAAATTTCTTTTACTATTAACTATTAACTAACATTTGTACTATATATAGTAAAAAGTTCTTTTACTATTAACTATTAAAGTAGAGTAGTACTAAAGCAGAGTACTAAAGTAGAGTACTAGAGTTTGATATTGTTGATAATAAATAGCTTATAATTGATAGTACTAGCAAGGTTGACATAGTGTGATGCTAAATAGTTGATAGTCCTAGAGTTTGACATTGTGTGACACTAAATAGTTGAGAGTACTAGATGACTAACAGTTGTAGTATAACAGTTGTAGTATATATAGTAAAAAAGTTCTTTTACTATTAACTATTAACAACATTTGTAGTATATATAGTAAAAAAGTTCTTTTACTATTAACTAAAAGTTGTAGTATATGTAGTAAAAAGTTCTTTTACTATTAATTATTAACTAACAGTAGTATATATAGTAAAAAAGTTATAGTATATAGTAAAGAAATATATAAAAAGTATATAGTAAAATAGTTAATAGTTAAAAATTAATAGTTGATGATTAATAGTTAAGAGCTGAAATTCAAAGTTGAAAATCTTGGTTATCAGTTGATGAGTTAATAGTTGATAGTTAATAATTAATAGTTGATTCATTTTTTAAATTTTAGTTCTATTAAATAAAAATGAGAGGCAATATACGAATTGTATTGGATGATATTGACGATATCACTTCAACCAGTCAAAACAATGCTCAAGATAATTTTGGTGATATGCAAAGAGAAAATCTGGAAAGAAGAAATCAAAGACTTGATAAAGATAGAGAACGCAAAAGAAAGAATCGTGAAAACGAATCACAACAACGAAGAATGGAACGTTTGGAACAACAGACGATTAGGCAGAAAATCAGAAGAGAAAATGAAGATGAAGAAGAAACTGAACAACGATTGGAACAAGAAAGAATTAGATATAGAAATAGATATAGAAATAGACTTAGAGATGAGATCCGGTTGTTCGCAGCCGGTGATCATCGAAATGTGATTGTGAATAGACTCGGAAGGATGAATGTTGAGTGTACCCACTGTGGTGCACTGCATTTTCCGGAAGAGAAGATTGGAAATAAAGGAAATTCCTTTAATAATTGTTGCCATCATGGCAAAGTGAACTTGAATTTGATACCAGAAAACAATTTTCCAGTTTTACTGAAAAATTTGTTTTTGAGAATTGATACAAGATACAAGAACTTTTTTGATTGTATTAGAAATTTGAATAGTAGCGTTTCCATGGCTTCCATGAATCCGCTTAGATATAGATACCCAAGTAATAGAGGCCCATATTGCTTTCGCATATGTGGTCAGATTTATCATAAATTGAACTTAGCATTGAATCCAGATGATGGAGACGAGCCTGCTTATGGGCAAGTCTTTATTGTTGATACAGAACAAGCGCTTAGTGCAATGAATAGAGCAAACCCTGTCATAAATCAGAGTTTGTTAAAAAATGTTTATGAATTGATAAAAGACATCAACCCGTTTGCGCAAGCATACAGGATGATGAAGGATGAAGAGGATGAAGAAAAAGAAAGATCTAGACTTGAAAATAGACCTCCTGTCGAGGTTAGTCTTTTGTTTGATACAAAAACTAACTTAGACAGGAGATTAGGGTACAATGTACCAAGAGCTAACGAAGTAGCAGCAGTTTATGTGCCTGGAGCAGATGGCGAAATGCCTAATGCTAAGATTGTAGTACGAGAAAAAGGAAAAGAACTTAGAATTCTGGATAATACTAACCAGTTAGTATCACCCATGACATACCCGCTGTTTTTTCCGCGTGGTACGTTAGGGTGGCATCCAGATATTAGACAAGAAAATAGTATTAGAAGAGTGACTAGACTTCAGTATGTTAGTTATAGTATTGGAGTTAGGAATGAGTTTAACCCCATTCTTTATGGGGGAAAACTCTTTCAACAGTATTGTGTTGATGAATATGTCAAGATTGAAAGTGATAGAATGAGATGGATTAGAGGTAACCAGAAAACGATCTTGGCTGATGCCTATAAGAACGTTGACAGTTACTTAGAAAAAAGGGCGAGAGAAACTGGGAAGCCGTTGGGGCGTAAAGTTATTTTGCCTCCGACGGTGACCAACTCACCGAGATATATAGAAAAGCACTTCCAGGATGCAATGTCATTAGTGCGAAAGTTCGGGAAACCGGATCTTTTTGTCACTATGACTTGCAATTCGCAATGGGAGGAGATTAAAGAGAATTTGTATGAAGGACAAGTGCCTTCAGATAGACCTGATATAGTAGATAGAGTATTCTATCTAAAAGTTAAAGCATTGATGAAAGAGATAACTAAGGCCAAAATTTTTGGCAGAGATATTTGTTGGATGTATCCGGTAGAGAACCAAGGACGGGGACTACCGCACATCCATTTGCTTTTGACTTTGCTTGATAAAGTAACAAGTTCTCAAGATGTTGAGAATAGAGGAATTAGTGCTAGACTACCTGACAAAGACAAAGATAATGAATTGTTTGAATTAGTCAAAAAGTTTATGATCCATGGACCATGTGGTGATTTGAATCCAAATTGCCCATGCATGGAAGAGAAAATAGTGAATGGAAAAAAGATAAAAAGTTGTTCAAAGGGTTATCCCAAACCCTTTCAACAAGAGACTTTAGTATTAGATAATGGTTTAGCATTATATGCGAGACCTAAAGATGGAAGAACTGTTGAAATATCTGCAGCAGGAAAGAGACATGAACTTGATAATAGATGGGTTGTTCCACACAACCCTTATTTGTTAAAGATGTTTAATTGCCACATTAATGTGGAGAAAGTGAACAGTGTGACCTCTGTGAAATATTTGCATAAATATGTTCACAAGTTACCAGATAGAGCTACAATGAATTATGAAGAGAAAAATGATTGTGACGAGATTAAAGAATTTATAGACGCACGGTACGTCTGTCCGCAGGAGGCCGTGTGGAGAATTTTAGAATTTGAGACATATGATCGTAGTCATAGCATCACAACTTTGCCTGTCCATCTGGACGGTGAACACGTGTGTTATTTCGACGAGAATATGACTGAGCAAGAGATTAGAGAAAAGATTGAAAATGACTCTGAATTGATTGGATATTTTGAATTGAATAAGAATAGTGCCTTAGCTCGGAATCTCTTTTATCACGAGATTCCCGAGAAGTTTGTGTTTAGAAAAGGAATTTGGAATGAGAGAAAGACACATTTCAACACAATTGGTCGGATGGTCAAGGTTTCGCCAGCCGAAACCGAACGCTATCACTTACGGCTGTTGTTGTTGAATGTGAAAGGAGCTACAAGCTATGAAGATTTGAGAACTGTAAAGAGATTAGATAATTTGATATTGAATATTAGAAAATGTGCAACCTTCGCGGAAGCATGTTTAGCCAGAGGTTTGATTAGAGATGATGATGAGTGGAAGAAGGCATTAGAAGAAGCTAACAACTTCGAAATGCCTTGGAAATTGAGAGAGTTATTTGCCTTGATTTTAGTGCATTGCAATCCTGCAAAACCCGAAGAACTTTGGGCTTTGTTCAAGGATGCTTTGTCAGAGGATTTTGCAAAAAATCTTAGTATTGAACTTGCATATAGAAAAGCGTTTATAGATATAGTAAAAAGAATATTGGAGGCAGGTAAATCAATTGCTGATTTTCCTACTATGAAACAACTAGATGGTATTAACCACCTGGATTGTTTAGATTTAGACCAAGTTAATAGTATTGAAGAGCAATTTAATGCTGCTGAAGAATTAGATATAGGTCGTCGTAGCTACGAGCTACTAAACGACGAGCAAAGAGAAATAGTAGATGAGATTTTGAATAGGATCTCCAATCCAGATGGGAAAATGGCTTTCTATTTTCTCAGTGGACCAGGTGGATCAGGAAAGACATTTGTACTTTGTACACTTGTCCATTTGATTAGAGGAATGAATAAGAGAATTAGTAATATGGCCTATACTGGTATTGCGGCAACGCTTTTACCAGGAGGTAGAACATTGCATAATAGATTTGGTTTGAATTTAGATATGAGCAATTCGAAAATAGGCCCAAGCTCAAGAGCATGGGAAGAATTGAAAAATGTTGATATGTTCATTTGTGATGAGGCACCAATGATTCATAAAAGAGCATTATCAACTATAGATTTGAAATTGAAAGAGATTATGAATAATAGTATAGAATTTGGTGGCAAAATTATGCTGATGGCAGGCGATTTTCGTCAGACTTTGCCAATCCAGAAGCATGCCACTAGAGCCGAGATTTGTGATTTGACAGTAAAAAGAAGTCAATATTGGGCTTCTGTAAGGAAGTTCAAGTTGACTAAGAATATGAGAGCTTTAGAAACTGAAAAAAGATTTGCTAAGGACTTATTAGAAATTGGTTCCGGAAAACGGAATATTGATACTGACCAGTTGGTATTACCACTGGATGTTATTAGTAACGGTGACTTAGCTGAAGAGATTTTTGGAAATGTGATTATAGATAATGACTGGAATAAGATGGCAAATATGGCTATTGTCGCGCCGAAAAATGTCGACGTGAGAGATTTGAATAATAGAGTTTTGATTATGCTTCCTGGCAACGAAACGTTGTACAAGAGCATAGACAAAGCTGAGAACGAAGAGAAGCAAGTATTAGACGAGTATTTAGACGAGTATTTGAACTCATTAAGCCCAAATGGGTTTCCCTTACATGAGTTAAGATTAAAGAAGTATGCTATAGTCATGCTGATTAGAAATTTGAATATAGAAAATGGTTTGTGTAATGGAACTAGAATGTTGGTCGAAGAAATGAGACCAAACTTGATAGTTTGTAGACTTTTGACTGGAGATAGAGCGGGACAAATGGTGTATATCCCACGCATCACTTTGTGTTGTGATGAAGAGTACCCATTTGATTTGCATAGGCACCAATTCCCATTGGTGTTGGCCTTTGCTATGACGGTGAATAAGGCCCAAGGGCAGACATTAGAAAGATTAGGAATAGATTTGACCAAAGACGTGTTTAGTCACGGTCAATTGTATGTGGCCCTCTCGAGGGTTAGATCTTGGAATTCATTAAGAATTAGGTTATTAGAAACTAATAACGAGAGAAAAGTTATGAATGTAGTGTATAAAGAAGTAATAGATGATAGAGATTAGTATTAGTTAGAATAAGATTTAGATTTAGAATTGAGTTATTTAGAGATTGTTACAATCTAACAGGTCGATTTATTTAAAAAAACCTTATATATTTTATAATTTAAGATAAATACTATTGAGCCATTTTTTTGTAAATGAACACCGAGAAAAGACTTGAGTTCGTGAAGGCAATGTTTGGATTGAATTAATGTTTCGATTTACTGATACAAGTTATGAACATGTTGATACACAAAAGGTAATACAAGTTTTTCTTAGTTAATAGTTAAATTATAATTAATAGCTGAAAATTGAGTTAATAGTTAATAGCTAAAAATCGAGTTAATAGTTGAAATGATATTGATAGTTAATAGTTGAAAGTTGAAAATCTTAGTTAATATTTGAATTATAGTTATTGTAAATGCACAACAAGAAAAGACTTAAGTGTTCGTGAAGGAAATGTTTCGATTGTAGTAATGTTTGGATTTACTGATATAAGTTATGAACAGTGCGAGACACTAAAGGTAATAAAAAAATTTTTTTAATTCTAATATTCAATTTTACGCAGCTATCAAGTCTTGAAGAGATATCTGAACTATCAACTATTAATTTTTGAAAATTATCAAACAAGCAAGGATTCAAACTATCAAGTTTTGAAAATGTTGGAAAATACAAATAAGATGAAGGTAAAGTGATGATTATTTTATATGAAAAAACTAAATTCCTTGAGTAGAATTGGAAATCTTAGTTAATAGCTAATAGTTGAATCATCGTTAATAGTTAATAGTTGAATCATAATTGAAAATTAATATTTGAAAGTTGGTTAATAGTTGATAGTTGTTAATAAAAATAATTAAATTCTATTGTAAATAAGTTTAAAATTTTAGTTTCAAAATTCAAAATGAGAAGCAACACATGAATTATTTTGGATGATATCAAGAAATTGTCATGGGATTCCAGTCAGAACGGCTCAAGATCAGGCTGAATTGGAGAAAAAAAGATGAAGATATAAGAGGATGATTATTTTATTTGAAAAAAAAAGAAAAATTATTTGAGTAATGTTTTTCAACAAAACTAGCAAAAGAATGCTGGAATGTTGTAAGATTTGTACATAATATTACTATTATTTTCAAATCATGCAATATTTCAACATTTGTTTTGTTAGTTTTTTTACACATTCTTCCCAAATATTTGTGTTTTTGATTGTTTTTTGTTTTACGTTTTTTAATGTTTTTAAAATTTATTGAAATATAAAGTTTTAGATGTTTGTTAATGTTTTAGATGGATTTGATAGTTTAAGTGTTTTTCATAGGAATTTGATAGTTGAAAAAGTTGATTATTAAAATGTGTTTTAAATGTTTTTTTTAAAGATTAATGAGATATTTTATGTGTTTTCCATTAGGGAAGTCAAAGGACATGAGAAAGTTTTCAAAGAATGACTAATAAGTTGATTTGACTTGAGTTTTGTTATGACTTAGGAAATGGCTAGCGGAGGAGCTCGCCCGAAGGGCGAGCACCTTCGCTAGTTACTTAAAAACCACAATCGTTTCCATAACAAACAGTCTTCAACAACGGTTCACTCTTTTATCAACGACAGTTTCTAGGAGCAGAACGAAGATGTCTAGGAGCAGAATCTCTTTCTGCTTGTTGTGTATGCTGCTACTCCTCTCCAAGTTTTGCGATGCAAAGTAAGTTTCTCAAAACAATTTTATTATAAAAATTTAAATCGTATTTTATAGCAATGACACAGAGCAAAGTCAACAGAGCAGTACAACAGGAGAAGGGTTTCAGAGCGATGAACATGACCAGGAAGAAGACAGCAAAGTAGAAGTACAGCCAGGCGATTTCACCAAGAATGATGAGACAAAGGACGATGGATCGGCAGTTGAAGTTGGCGAGGGTGTTGAAGTTCAAAAGGAAGAGGTCAAAAGCCCTGAGAATGAAGAGCAGAACAAGGAAGATGTAGATGAAATTCAGAAGGAAGACGTCGCTTCTGAGAACGAGGACAAAGAAGATGGAGCCGTCGACGTCAAAAGTCCCGAGAGCAAGGATCAGGCCATGGAAGATGGAACCGGTGTTCAAAATAAGGAGGCCAAACCCTCTGAGAACGAAGAAGTTCAGGAGGAGGGAAACCCCCCTGAAAATGAGGACAAAATTGAAGGAGCCAATGTTCAAAAGGAAAACGCCGAAAGCCTTGTGAACGAGAACAAAGAGAAAGAAGACGAAGTTCAAAGTGAGGAGGCCAAACCATCTGAGAACGGGAGCAAAGAGGATGGAACAGAAGTTCAACAGGAAGATGTCAAAAGTGCCGAGAACGAGGGTCAGCTAAAAGAGGATGGATCTGAAGTTCAGGGTGAGGATGCCAGAGACCCAGAAAGTGGCAGCACAGACACAACGTAAGAAACTCGATAAATTTGATTTCTTGACTTCTCTTTTCATATTTCAGGGCTGTTGCATCTACACCGACTGAACATTCTTTGAATGGGAGTTTTAATAATCAGACAAGGTAAAATAAACGAACAAAGTTTTCACTGACTAATTTTCTTTTGTTTTTTAGTTTTTCGCCAAACAATGATACTTCTGATCCAACAAGTAATGTGCCACCGGAACCGTCAGATTCGTCATCATTGCCGCCGCCAATTGCTGGGATGTCCACAGAACCAAGTGAACCGTCAACAGAAACAACAGGACAACATACCGGACCACCAAGCGAGGAAACCAAATCAAGTGCACAAACAACAACAACAACAGTTGCAGCAAGTACAGAAAGTAGTGGCAATCTCTTCCTGATTGTTGTCATCATTTTCTTGGTTCTCCTGTTGGTAGCTATTTTTGTCTGTTGTTGTATGCTGAGGAAAAAGAATCCGGAAGATGATAAAGATTTGGAGATGCAGGATCTCGCATCCGATGGTGGTTCGTCCAAAACTGAAGGATCTGAACTTGGCAAGAAATTAAAAGGCGCTGCAAGTGAAGTGAAAACAGAAGAGAAAGAAGAGTAAGAAAAACTAATTTTATTTTTTAAACTTTTCCCTATTTTTAGAGATGAAATGGAAACGGCGCTTGGAGTGGGAACCGAACTCTTCTCTTTTGCTCCCGGATCTGACGACACGGCAATTTCAGTAAAGGAAAAAACAGCGGTTGAAGTAAGCAAACGTTTGGGGAGTGGGTCTGCTGTTGGTGGAAGGAGTAATATGAAAACAGCTGTGCTTAGAGATGAATTGGAAGATGATGAGGCAGGGTTTGAAAATGCAAAGACGGCTGTGCCTGGAGAGGGAAGGTAAGGGAAAATATTTTTTTGTACAAATTTTAAAAATAAAAAAAATTTTCAGTGGAGCTACAAAGACTGCAGCCGCACCAGATGCCAAAGAATCGTCCGTAGAGGACAAGGAAGGAAGAGGAGGGGCAAAGACAGCAATTAGTGGTGATGATACAACTGGAGAGACAAAAACTGATGAAGAAAAGAAGGAAAATGAAGAAGAGAAGAAAGAAGGAAAGGAAGAAGCAGCTGAGGGAGAGGAAGGCTCGGAGGAATAAAAGAATTTGTAGAAGTAATGAAAGATGTTGAGAGAATAGATGTAAAAAAGAATATAGTAATATTTGTAAATTGTAAAAATTAATCTTTTCCTTCCTTCAATCTGTGATATTTGTAAAATATATGTATTTATTGTGTTGATTTTTGGTTGAAAATAAAAATTTTTTATAATTTTTGCCAATTTTTTGCTATTTTCTGGGATAGGTTCGGCCGCTTTACTTTCACAAAAAGTAAAAGTTTAATTTTTAAAATATTGTTTTAATGGCAAGTCTACAGATAACTAAAAAAAGCTTTTAATGGAGAATTGGGATAGGACTAAAAAAATAATTTTAGACTAGATAATACTAAACAAAAAATCGTATAATTATTTGAGATTTTCAATAATTTATCTTTTCTTCAAAAATATTTTGGCCGTATTTCCTGCATTTCTCTCGTAGTAAAAGAATGTCCATCTGACCGTAGCGGAGATTTAATAAAAGGAGAAATAAAAATAAAAGGCCAATTTTCTCCAAGTATTTCAAATAAATTCTTCCAAATTCCAAGATTATAAATATTAATATTTTGAAGATATTCAACACGTGTTTGTCCAATTGAAAGACAAAATAATTGTGCAATAATTAAATAAATATTAAAAGTTAAAGTTACAGCAGAAAATGCAAATGTTGCGATTAAAATAAATTGACTGAAGGATATAGCACCAAGTAAAAAAGCCAAATGAGGAAAAATAACTTTCCAAATATTAAATAAATTATTAAATATTGGTATTAACATAAAAACATTCCAACTAGAAAAAAAATTTAATTTTTTTTTAATTTTTATGTAATTAAAAAGCAGTGTTATTAACCTTAGTTTTCAGTAAAAATTAAAATAAACAGAATTTCTAATAAATAATAAATCTTCCCCTCTCCCCGACTTTACTGGGGGATTTTAGATTCGCACAATTTATATTCTATGTCAATCAAAAAGATTTCGTCGAGCTGGGTCGAGCGAAAATAAATGAAATCCCGGTAAGGTATACTTAGACTCCCTTTTTTAATTAATAATTAAAACGTCAAAATTCCAATTTAAAATCATTTGTGAAAATAAATTTAAAACTTACACAACACAGCTAAGAGTAATCGGTAAAAGATTAAAAATAGCAGCAACAAAATAACGCTGATTGAAATGACCAACACAACACCCAACAAACGAAGAATGGTGATCTCGACTAAAATTTATCAGAAAAATTAAAATATTTTTTAGAATAATTACCGTAAAATACAAATATTACAAACTAAAAAAGAAAGAATATTTTAATTTAAATAATTTTCAAAAAAACCTGGACAGTGGAAAGAACGTGGGGGAGCATTAAAATTACATTCATAACAAAAACGATAACCAGCCTTTTGCACTGTAGGCAACAAAGAAGCATTTGGAGAATTAGGTCCAACTTTAACAACTTTCCAAGCATTTAAATAAACATTAAACCCAAAAAATAAAAGAGGAATAATTCGAAATAACCATTCCTAAAAATTTTGAATTTTTTAATTAAAAATCCAATAAAAATTAACCGAAGAAAAGACTTCATACCAATTCGTAAGAGTAACTAAAGCAGTATAAATAAAGCCTAGAGGCAAGAGCACACAAAAAATAAACGAACAAACCTAATTAAAAAAGAAACATTTTATTTAAAAAATCATTTTTATTCTGGTTTTGTTGATAAAAAAAATAACCTACAATATCTTGTGTTGCAAAACGTCTCATAAATAAAGCCCTCATTGTTTCAATAAAAATAATCTGTAATTCTTAAAATTTTACAAATGTTAAATAAATTTTTTAATTTAATTTAAAATACTTGAATTAAATTTTAAATAAATAAAAATTGAATAAATAATTTAAAAATATTTATTTATATTATTAAGGAAAATGGATGTCAAAAAATAACAAAAAGAATAAAATTTAGAAAAAAACATTCGGATTAAAAATTTTTATTAAATATTTTTACAATTGTCAAGCATAAAATTTCCTCAAGTCACGTAAAGCCAAAATAACGTCATAAGATCTTACAGCACTAAAAAATAATTTTTTTAATTAAAAAAACAAAAACCTATAACCTTAGTACACGTGTTCGAAAGTCTAAAAGTTGTTCAGGTGTAGCACTATTCCCTCCATCATGAGGAATTTGTGAACAAGTAAAATTTAACCATTCTTCTGCTTTCTATAAAATTATTTTTTTTTAAATAATTTTAATTTAAAAAAAAATTACTTGTTTATCTAATTGTATTAATCCAAACATAATTTCAGCCATTTCTTTACTCAATAAAGTAGATAAATGAAAAAGTGCAGCAGAAACAGCTGATAACATAATTTGTGGACATAAAGACAATAATAATTGTTTTACACGTTGAACATCAGCAACTTGGATGGAAGTCTCCTAAAAAATAAATCTTTAATTTCAAAAATTCAATTATTTTTTACTTTTCTTTTCCCAGCAGCAACATCAATAACTTCCATTATAAATTTACTTAGCGATCGATTAGCATCTACTTGACAAATATTAAGCCCGTTTATAGCATTCTGGAGAAGATGAGCAGATATTTGGTGGGAAAAAACGGAAGAAGGAGAACGCTGATTTTTTCATAAATTAAAAAATAATATTTTAAATTAAAAAAAAAACCTGAACAAACCGAACTACTAACCGATAAAGGTCTTTAAAAAAATAATTAAAATTATCAACAAAATTTAATTATAAAAAACGAATACCATCAACTGTATCTGGATTCATTTCAAAACCATTAGGGACAGAAGAAAGTAACAAAAGTGCGCGTGTAGCCAAATTCTGTTAAATTTTGAACAATTACTTTTAAAAAATCAAAAAATACTTCAAGCATTGAGAGCATTCCTGGCTGTACAAATTCCAAATTACCATACTCATCCACAAGTATACTAGCTAAATAGAGAAGGCACGAATGAGGGAAACGTCCATAGACAAGAATTATCTACAAAAAATGTTTAAGCTGAATACCAAAATTTTACAAGTTATAACTTGATTAGCCAAAGGTTCAATAAATACAATTGATTGTTGACCCATTGAACGAATTAAAAAACGGATAGTTCTGCAACAATGCTCAATAACTCCTAAAAGTTAATTGAATAAATATATTGAAATAAATATAAAAAATTTTCCTAACGTTGTTTTTCCTGTTGTTGCTGCAATGTAACAAGTGTACATTGAACGACTCTTGTGCAGAGAGGCAACCAAGGACATTCTTGTTTTTGACTTCCTTTTTTATATTCTAATTGAATTTCCCAAGGTTTGAGAATTCTCCAAACAGAAGAAAGTCTATCCAACCATAAAATTGGATCAGTTGAAAATGTTTGCCAAGCATCACTAATATTTTCTTTGTTACTTGTTGTAGTAGAAATTGGTGAAGTTTGAGGATCAGGAGGAATAGAATTAGAATTTATCTTTAAAAATATTTTAATTTTAAAATAAATTTAAAACCCTTTCAAGATTATCAATAGATTTGACAGAAAGAAGTTCAAGAAAAGAACAAAGTTGAGGAGAAGGCAAATCATTAATTAAATAAGTTGAAGCTTTAAGCAAATGTTGAGCAGCTTTTTCCATTTCTTGAGCCTTTCCTTGAGACTTTTCAACGCTCAAAATTAAACCAGAAAGAATATTTAAATATCGCTCATGTAATGATCGTTTTTGTATCTAAAAAATATTAAAAAGATTTTTTAAATATAAAAAATTAATACTTCTCCACATCCCCGTTCTACTAAAAATTCCAAGCTTTCAGCAACTGTTAAAGCCATACAACCATCAGCAAATCCAAAAAGTGTACAAAACCATTCAAAAGTTCTAACTATAAAATTTAAAAATTAATTAAAAACAAATACAAATTAACCCATATAATCAGAATCTCCTTGTGATGGTGCTTAAAAATAATTCTAAAATAACTTTTCCAAAAAAATTTAAACCTGAAATTGTTTGTGCTATTAACCAATCTTGAAGATTACCCAATAATTGTGCACTTGTTTTAAGCAATTGCTTATGGGTACCAGACAAAGGTAATTTAAGAATTGCATCCAAAAGTGTTGGAACAACCATCTTTTCACTTCTAATTTCATTTTAAAATTAAAAAATAATTTTTTAATTAAATAAAACTAACTCCACAATATTATTTATGAAAGAACTGATAATAAATAAAATAGCTTCCATTTGATCCCAACTAGTTGAAGTATTTAAATGTTCCATTAAAAGTCTTAATAAATCCACTGATCCAATTATAAATGTCTTGTTAAAAAAAATTTTTTTTAATTAAAATGAAAACTAACAACGTCCCGAACACTTTCTTGTGCTCTATATCTAAATTCAGCTAATTCAGATCGCTCACTCAACATTTCCTGTGAATCAGAATCAATTCTACAATGACGACAAAGTGACAAAATATGCCTTAAAATTAAATTTAAAAATTATAAATTTAATTTCAAACTTTTCAACAAAAGGTTTGAAAGCTATTCTGAGTTCATCAAAATCAGGTTCATCACACTGGTAAAGATATTCTGATAAACGATACCAAACATTAAAACTCATTTCAACTAGCTATAATAAAATATATTAAATAAACAAAAGGTATATTTTTACATTATAATCATGATATTCATTAACTATTTGAAGCATTTCTAGTCCACGTAGATCTCCAAATCCATCACCCGGATGTTTGGCAATTTGTGTAAGAAATGCTTCACAATGTTCAGCATAAAGACGAGTATAGTTAATAAGTCTGAAAAAAGCAGTGAAACTCGAATCGTAAATCTATTCACTTACTTATCACTATCCTCATCTCGAACAGCAGAACGAAAAGCCTCCCCAGTATGTAAAACTCCTTGTTGTAAAATCCTTGCAAGTTCAATTTGTTGTGGTGGAATATCTCCATCATTTATTAATTGAAAAGCATTAACTAAACATTCTGTAGCAGCATCATGTAGGTCAGAAGCAATGCTGTTTTGTGTTAAACAACCAATTACAGAATGAAGTAAAGGAGAATGGGCTAACTAAAAATTAATAAAAAATAAATTTTAAAAAATAAAAAAAAATACAATTTCAGTTGGGCATTGTTTATTTAGTAACCAAGAAGCAAGGCAATTTACGCAATTTGTAAGAGTGACAGAAGGAGACGAGCCATCAGGTGATGAACACAATTGGGACTAAAAATTAAATTTTATAATAAAATTTAAATAAAAAATTAACCAAAATATTAAGCACTTGAACAGTTTCTGCAGCCATTTCTAATTCAATTTCTTGTCTTCGATTCTCCCCAATTTTTAATCTTCTATTGTACAACTCTTCAGGAAAAATTTTGAAGAAATTTAAAAAAATTTGTTGATTGCGAGTATTCCCTTGAACTCCAAACAAAGCAATCAATTGTGGAATAAACCCTCTCCATTCTACTACCTTTATTAATTTGTTAGATATTGTATAGAAAAACTTCTACCTGAATGTATAAATCTGATAGTGCAGCACAAATCTGAACGATAATAGAAGAGACATTCCGACCGAGTTTAGTTTCAATATTGCTTTAAAAAATATTTTAATAAACAAAATTTTTAAAACCTCAATAATGACAAAAGGGAATCCCTTAAAGCGACATAAGAATCAGAAGGCAATTCATGCATTTGGTAAAGTAATTTATTTCTTAATGTTTGCGCTGCAAAAAGACAAGCATCAGAAGACCGGGCTTCATTTAATATTCTGTCTGCAATCGTCCAAGCATCAATCTATAATTCAAACCAAGAATTTAGTAAATATTGGAATTAAAAATACCGATTTTTGAAATTGCTCCAACCATTTTATTGCCGCTCCATTACGTGATGGATCAGGACCATTTAGCGCATTTACTGCCTCGTAAACAGAATCCAAACTAATATTATCCATAAATGTTTTTAGTCATGAACTAATTTAACTTAAATTAATTACAAAATATTAAGAAAATAGTTGTTAAAACTGTACTAAATAGAATATTATTTAAAATATATTCGTAAAACTAACGATCTTAAATTTCAAAAATAATAAAAAATTTAACTTTTAAATTATAATTAAACAAAAATTAATAGTAATTAAAATAAAAATAAATCAGAGCGGGCTTCAAACAAGGCACGCATACAACCAAGTTTTGAGTGAAATCCGCCAGCAATTGACTGAATAGATGGTTCGCGAACATATTTAATAAAATTATTTTCAATAAGTTCATATTCGCTAAGCATTGGAGGACCATTCAATGAAATAACAGGTGTAGAATGAAAATATGGTTTTCCAGCATGGCGAACAACTCCATAAACTGCACGATCACTTGCTCGCTGTTTTTCTTCTTAAATTTATAATTGTAGGTTTAGAACCAAATTAACGAATAGTCAATTAAATAAACCTCAAGTTCATAAAAATAACCTAATTTGCTCCGCTTTATGCGTTCTGCCTTCTCCTTCTCTGCCATTTCATGCTCTATTTGTTTTTTCCTTTGACGATCCAACACAACTTCAGCAGGTAAATCACTTGAACGAAGTTCATCAATTACATCCTTTGGGTTGAATAATGATTTTTCTTGGTCCTTAAATTCAAACACCTATTTTTAAATAAAACAAAGTATTCACCAAATCATCTTTGTGTTGCCCTTCAAGTTTTCTCTTCCTTAACTCTTCCTCATCAAGCATTCGTTTTATCCATAAATCATCACTAGACGGTCGCCTTTTATTTCTTTCAATTAATTCTGAATTCTCTTCTCGGAATAATTTAACTTCTGCTTCCACTTCTTCAGTGTTAATGTCATTGGTCAATCTGTAAAATATTCAAAAAATTGAAAATAACCGCAAAATTATGCTAATATTAGAAACAAACAATAGCCTAATTAGTCACTTGAAAATTATATCCTCCACTCTTTCCAAATAATCATTATAATCGCGTAGATTTTCAAAGTCATCTTCTTGCAAGTTGAATGTCTAAAACCCTCCAAAACTTTAAAATTAAAACAAAAAATAACCATAAGAATGCGTTTTCTAATAAAGTTTTCACGTTCTACTCGGAGATCATCAAATTCTTGAATCCAAAATCCAGATTTTTTCAGCGTCCGGTCACAATCTTTGTATGGGCATTGACCAACATTTCTTGCAAACAAATTCTCCATACAATTTTGGCATATTGGATGACAACATTCATTGAGCATCATTACAAGAGAGCGATTTTGGAATTCGCTTGTTTTGCATTTTGGACATTGTCGAGAGGTAGAAGTCCCATCCTCAGCCATCTTTATATTGCTTTATAAAAAGATTAAAAATTAAATTTTAAATTACTTAAGTAGATATTATATTTAAATTGTAAAATTATAAAGAAAATTCGAGTCATTAAATAATAAAAATTTATTTTTCATCACAATATAATTAAGTAGTATCATAAAAATATTATTTGTATATAAATTAAAAAATCGGAATCTAAAAGTTTTGTAAGTGACACAAGTTAGGGCGGTTAAGATTTTAAGTAAAATGAATGTAAAAAAGATATGGACAAAAGAAAAAAAATAAAGAGTGGATTTTCTAAATAAAATTAATTTGAAGATTAAAATTTTTTTGAACAGAAATTTCGGATCTCCTTTGTAAATAGATATTTGGAGATGGAAAAGATGTGATCAAAACTGAGGTGTATGCAAAATTCGAGACATTGCTTATTGTTAAGCTCTCCCCAACCTGTTACCAATCAGCATAAGAAAATTATAGACACAATAAAATGTATGTAAATATGGATGTACGTACAAACGAGATCCGATTGTATCAGTAGAGAAAATCGGCCCTTAATAATTAAGTAGAATTCTAAATATATCATATTTAAATAAAATAATTGAATTTCAAATACTTTGTTCGTTCTCATTTTCCTTACAAACGCCTTTTTACATGTATTTTTAAAGGGCCAACAATATTCTTTAATTGTTTTACAACATTTAATGGACTCTCATCATCACGAAGTTCTACTCCTTGTACACGAACAATTTGATCTCCAACACGAAGAGTACCATCTTGTGCGGCCAATGAATTATCCGGTCCAATACTGCGAATGTAAACTCCATCGTATCCCACACGTTTTGCCAAACTCAATCCTATTTTAACAAAACAATCTTTATAAAATTAATTTATATACAAATATACCTATTGGAGTATTCTCATTCTTGTTTAGTATTACGACAATAACCTTTTCATCAAACTTATCAAATCCTCTTTGTTTTGTTGTTTTTGATGAATGAGGAATTGATTCTTCATTTTTTGGTTTTTCAAATGTTGTAAGATCATTTGTCCAATCCAAATTTAATAAAGGTTTATTATTGTTATTGATCTCGTTATTTGTGTTTTGACGAGCAAAACGTTGTAATGCAGCATCAAAAGGGGAGGATTTTGAAACATCGGAAGTTGACTGAATAGTATTTGCTCTTTGATATCCATTGTTTATCTTATTTTGCTTCTCTTTTGTCGCAATATTAATATTCTCTGCCTTTTCTTCATCATTGTTATCATCGTTTTCTATTCCATACATTGCAGTCACAGATGGCATTTTTTTAATAATATATTCACCCCTCGATGATTCGAGATCAGTTAAAGAGGAACGAGTAATTGTTGAAGAACCACCATCAGTACTAATATCTTCATCCTCATCTGATTCTAACATTCTAAATGTAAAAAAAATTTTTAACAAGGGGGCATAAAAATAAATATACGTCGTTTCCATAAATCCAACACTTGTTTTGTGCCGTCTATATCGATTGGGTTTAATTGCGTTAAGTCGAATTGGATCATTTTTTGTAGAAAGTGTTAAAATATCATCAGTTTTAAGTGTTGGTAGCGTCATACCACTGATTGCTCCAAAATCAGAAACTGCACGTTGCCGATGTGAAACATTTGGTTTTGAATTGTTATTAGTAATATTAGTTGCTTCGCTATAAAAAGAGATAGATTTTTTGAATTGGGTTTTGAAAACAAAAGGCTTGAAAGTTTTTAAAATAAATTTTAACATTACATTTTCTTAGTTGAAACACATTTCACGTTCTCGATGTTTTTTAAAGAATCATTGTTTTTATTTTCGGGGGGAGCAGAAGTACGTCTTCGGGCAGAAACTATTTGTGATTCCTCATCTTTCACATTTTTAACAGAATGTGTATTTGTCGGTTTTCGACCAGCTAAAAATAAAATTTTAAATATTCAATCTAATAACATTTACAATTTAGTCCATTAATTACACTTTGCAAAGGCTCCTTCGAAAGAACTACAGAGATAGATGGAAAACGTAAAACTTCTAATCGGACCTTCCCCCCACAATTTTGGACAATCTCTACAGCATCATGTCGAGTTCTGTCAAGCAATGATATTCCTGTTCAAAATTTTTAACGTTATTAAATCCTTTAAACAAAAGTAAATTTATAAATATGTTTATATCTTAATAAAAATTTTACCATTTATGCTCAAAAGACAGTCTCCAATAAGTAAACCCTTTTTGTGCCCATCACCTTCAGCAGCAACAGACTTAACATAAACACCCTTTACTCCATTGACAGCCCCATCAACAAGTGTTAGCCCCAAACCAAATTCGGGATGCCTTTCAAGAACCATAAATATTTTTTGTGCATCTTGACCATAAATTGACTATTGATAATTTGAAATAAAAATAGTCAAGATAATTAATTTAAAAAATTTTCTACTTCATCATCACCATCATTGCACTCCTTATTTTCTAAATCTACAAAATCTGGTTGTCGACAAGAATTAACAGCAGAGATTCCCATTTGTGGTTGCGATCCATTTCGACGATGAGTTTGTTTAGAATCCAATCCATCAACACTTTGATGATTTTGTTGAGAAATAACTTCAATTGAACCATCTATTGCAACATCACGATGTCTTTGAACTGCTCGGACACGTTCCAATGTTCCTTGCCATTGACGCATTTTGAGCATAAAACTTTAAACAATAAAATTAGTTAAAATAAAGTTTTTAAAATACCCGTGTTGTGAGGCCGCAAAACGAACTAAATAACCTGATTTAGAATGATGATCCACATAAAATATCTAAAATTCTAATAATTTAGAAAAAAATTTTGTAATACATTATCCACGGCTATTCCATTATCAATTATTCCCAGCAAAAAACGTTTTTTATCGAATTGTAATGTTCGAATATTGCTCCATTGATGTAAGGAAGTGAATAATCGTTGGGCACCGTTTCTTTCTTCGCGGCAAATACCAATACCAGAAGGCTAAATTAAAAAAATATTTTAATATATTGATGATTTATTTAAAAACAACCATTATAGCAAGTAAACGAAGATCAGGAAGAAATTGCTGTTGATGTCCTTTTGGTTTAATTTTGTGAACTCTGTAGAAATGTGATCCATAATAAGTCTAAAAAGAAAATATTATAAATATAAAAATATTTAATTACCTCCTCAAGGCAGAGAGAAATGAAACGTTCTTTAGCCTCCAAACGACACAATTGCTTCGAAAATTGTCCGTGTAAGGAAATAATTTCTTTTTGAACAGAAAGAATTTCTCCCGCCTTTAAATCGTAAAATTTTCCTGGCAAATAATTTTCCAAATTGAAATAATCTCCTTGTAAATTATTTGAGGTTGAAGAAGAAAACTCTTGATCTCCTTCATATTCAACACAGAGTGCTAATGCCTTTAATTATTTTAAGAAAACCTAAAAAATTTAAATAAAAACAAACAGCCATTTCCAATGCTTTTTCTCTTGGTTGAAAACGCAAAGTTCCAGATAACATATCTTGTCTCAATTGTAAATAAAGTTGATGGGTTGTTATCGAAGTTTTAATAAATTCTCTTTTCTTTGGATAAAAACGGAAACGAAAATTTAAAATAAATTGTTCTGTGTTAGAAAAAATTTATTTATTAAAGAAATAGAAGATTTAAAAAAACCTCTACCAATGCCACTTTTCCACCCTGGCGGTGCCCATTTCTCTAAATGCTGCCTTTCTTCAAGAAAAATAGATTCACCATTACGGCTTAAAAGAGCCAATCCAAAAAATAAATGCTCGCTAATATACAAATGCTCTGAAACTGTGTGAAAAACAGCGCCAACTAGTTGATCTGAAGTACAGTTAACCTCAACTGTATGTCCATCAAGAAGACGCACAAAGACAACAACAGGTTCTTGTCTATATAGAGCAGCGACAATTTTTTTCTAAACTTTAAAAGTTGAAAAAAGAATTTTTTGAAATATAAACAATAACTAAAAATATAAAAAAAAACATGTATTAACCTTTCTCATACTCTGTGCTCTTAGTCGAATACTTGGTTGACTTCTATTGGTTAAAAATTCAGGCACAGTTGGCAACATTAAAGTAGAAACTGCTGTTCCTCTTCCAGTTTTTGTATGATTGGGAGCAATACGACGACTACAACGTTCAGGTTGGAGAGAATTTTGCCTTCTGAATGTTCCACCAGAATTAAAGGGTTGCGAAGGAGATTGGGTATTTTGTTGAAAATTCTAAAAATTTGAAAATTTTGAAACTAAGTTATTCAAATTTACATTTTTTTGTTGAGGAGGAGAAATAAACGGATTTTTTTCGCATCCATCAATTTTATCAGCAATTTTATCAAACGAATTATTCCCATTTATTAAACTTGAAGACAACATTTTTGAATTTATTTGTTTATTAGTTATTTCTTCCTTTTCCCCATTTTTTCCGTTTACTTCAGAAAACGCATTATGTTCATTATCAAAAAATGGATTTGATGGAGAAAGAGCACGCGGAGTTGATGCATCCTCGCTTTTTTCGTTCTGGTCATCGAGTTTTAAGGAAGAATCCAAATTTAGAGTAATATTTTTTGAAATCTAAAAGAGAAATTTTTTTTATAAATTAAAAAGTTGAAGAAACAAACATCAAATCCAGCAATATCAAAATTGTTAATATCCAATTGCTCTGGATGATTTGTAACGCTAAAGTCTGAGAACTCCTGATTGCTGATTTTCTTGCTGGAGATTTCTTTAAAATAAAAATGTATTTTTAGAGTTATTGTCATTCTCTAACTGTTTTGAAAATCTGGCGCTCCTGGACCTGGAACAATACTTAAATGAGATGAACGTCTAGAAGAGAAACGAATATCATCACAAAATTCATCAGAAATCTTAAAATCAAAGTTTTGGCTAATAAATACTTTCAACAAATCTTAAAAGTAATATATTTAAACCCACCAACTCATCCAAATCTCCCAAAACTTCACGATATAGCCCAATAACAACCTGATGCATTCTACCAA